CACCGATCTCATCTTCAGAAGCTTCGACAAGGGAGAAAGTTATGGCAGGATGACAAGAGCAAAGACAAAAGGGATGATCTACATTTTCAAGCTCCGTCTCCAGCACACCCCAGGTTTCACACAGGGAGATTCCAGACCGTCTGCCATTGCTTCAGACCCAACATTGCCTTCGTCTTGGACAAGGGAACCTCCCATCGTTAGCACTCCCACCACAGATGTTCCCATCGAGGCAATCCCTTGTCGCTGCCCCACGTCGGAATCCCAGTAGGAACAGCTCACAACAAGAAGCCTTGAGATTCTGAACATGGACCCAAACTGAAGACTTATGCACGCCCTTCATCCCTGCTCAGTTGTGCTTTACTATGACCTTTGGAATCACTCCAATATTCAGGGCACATGCTGCAAGTCAGGTAACTGGATATTCACCCTTACCAACACCCAGGAATCGTTCCATCCTGCCTTCTTCAAAGCCCACTGGCTCTCAAGGCCAAAACTTCCAGAGACCCTGATCTCCCATCTCTGAAGGAATCTCTGATGGGACCACATGCAGCCACTTCTGGGAGCAATGGACAAAGAAATTGCCAGCTTGAAGGCAAAGGGACTTGCACATCGTACAACGTTCTTCAATGCCCTCACACCTCAGGCAGTTCCCGGAACATGGGTACAACGAATCAAGAGGTTACCAGATGGCCAATTGAACAAGTTCAAATCTAGATGGTGCTGCAGAGGTGACCTTCAGTCCTATGAAGGCACCGCATATTCTCCACTTGTTGGTTGGCTCACTGTTAGAGCCGGTCTTTTCTTGCAGCTGCACATGGATGGGAATCGAGACAAGTTGATTTTACTCTTGCTTTCTGTCAGAGTCCTCAGCCTTCCGATCAGCCATTGTACATGGAATTGCCTCAGTACTATCGACCAAAGATTATGAAGGACAGGACTGTGTTTTGAAACTTGACAAGTTCATCTATGGGCAGACCGATTCACCCAAATTATTCTATGAGCATCTATGTCGTGGGATGGTCCAACTTGGTTTCGAAACCTCAGAAGCAGACCCCTGTTTATTTATTCATAAGGAGCATCAACTCATGGTATTAAATTATTGTGATGACCAAATCTGGCTCAGTCCGGACAATGATCTGATTGAGTCTATGTTGGACAGCTCCAGAAGCTTGGATATGATCTCACCATGGAAGACAGACAAGGGAGACATCTTTGGATTTCTTGGTATTAATTTTGAAAGACAGGGAGACAATGTGGAATTGACTCAAAAGGGGCTCATCAACAAGGTTATTGAATACACTGGCATGTCTGAAGCCAGCTCTAAGCTTTCTCCTGCTGCCACCGATCCGCTCGGCGCTGACAAACTGGGTGCCCCATTTGAAGAAGAGTGGAGCTATCCAGCTGCAGTTGGGATGCTGCTTTACATTGCATCCAACACTCGCCCAGACATCACCTTTAGTGTACATCAGGTAGCACGATTCAGCCACAACCCCAGGCATTCCCATGCTCAAGCCATCAAACGAATCATTCGGTACTTGATTGGCACAAGTGACAAAGGCATTTGTTTTAGCCCTAAGCTTGATCAAGGACTTGATTGTTGGGTGGATGCTGACTTCGCAGGGTTGTATGGATATGAGGATGATCAGGATCCTGTTTCGGTCAAGTCTCGCACTGGTTTTGTCTTGACTTTGTTTGGATGCCCTGTCATTTGGTCCAGCAAACTGCAGACTGACATTACTCTGAGCTCCACTGCTGCTGAATATGTTGCCTTCAGCATGTCCATGAGGGAGCTGCTTCCTATGCGAGCCCTGCTCAAGGAAATTGGTAACAAACTGCATATGCCCGTAATTACTGACAGTCTCGTGCGCTCTACAGTATTCGAAGACAACCAAGGTTGCCTGTCTCTTGTGAATGTTCCCAAGATGTCAGCCCGCAACAAGTATTTGGCATTGAAGTACCACTTCTTTAGGTCAAATATCGGGGAGTCGAAGGGCATCGTGGCCAAGTACATTCCGACTCTAGAACAACGGGCCGACATCTTCACTAAGGGTCTGCCAGCTCCACAGTTTGCAGTCATTCGGAAGCTCCTCATGGGATGGTAATCTACCTCAGCACGTTGCTGGGGACTCTCTCCTATTGTTTCTTGCTACAGCTTCATTTCAGCTGTAAGGGAGTGCGACGGGATACAGCTTACAATTCAGCTTTACAGCTTTATAAATTGCGGGCCTATTCTAGAAAATAATCAATAACTGCTCACTTATTTGGAAATACAAACTTTACATCTCTTAGATCGTTAGATTAATCAATCCACAATGGTATTGTCGCAACTCCGGTCAGCCTGCAAGAATCAGTGAATCCATCGGTGGTTTCCTGGATCGCATAGAAATAGTTATCCAAGTCCGCCTTTTCACAGCCATTTTTGTGATTGGGCCACCGACAGGTGCTCCCATCGGCCATGCAGATAAATTCATGGCTGGCGAACTTCTTCGTGGTGAAGATGCACATGTAGTCTTCCACTTGCCGGTATCTATCCAAGAATGGGTCCTGCTCCACTTCGTTGGGAAGTAGAGCTCTCCGAGCCTCTGCTGGAGTCACTTGAGCGGGTGCTCATGGAGTGACGACTCGAGTCGTCATCACTTCTAACCATGTCCGCGGAGGTATGGGTGGAGTGACTTTTCCAAACAGTTAGATGGTTGCTTGAGTAGCAAGAGTTCTATACCTACTCAATCAAGTAGCTCACCGTTATCTCGTTAGCTGGTTCGTCTCTAGTTGCTTTCTCGTTACCCCTTGTCGTTCAAAGGAAAATTGATATATCTAAGGATGAACCTGCTTTATTGGAAAAGTGACGTCATGTTTTGATGCTGGTAATGGTTCAACCAGCATGTATCTTGTTGATAGAAGAGGTGGCTTTGCCAGCTCGGTTGGTTGGTGCTGTGGCACCTCTGTGGTCTGTATTTTGTCCCGTGGCCAAGGTTGGTGTTGCGATGTCTATCCAGATCTTAGAATCTCTTCATTCCATGTCCTGGAAGGTTAGCGCTATCAGATCTAGTAGGTGCTTACATTCTAGCTAACACCGAAGACTACTTTGAAGATACATCATACTATGGTCTCTATAGGGATGACGGCTTTGCAATATTCAAAGGAACATGGACGTATGAAATGATAGCCGATTGGAGGACCAAATTCCAATCGAAAGTCAATCAACTAGCTGAAGGTGACTATCTAGTAAGCATATGGCCAGACCAAAGTAGAAGGGAAATACCAAACACAGAATCCAACCCCAAAGTTACTGTCGAAACGGGATTGGCCTTCCCCTACCTAGACATGGAACTGTTCTGGTCAGACGCAGAAGAACTATACTTCCGCGTCCACATGAAACTGAACCAACAACTAAAATATCTTAACAGAGGGACAACCCACATAAACGCATGCCTCAGAAACATCCCACTAGGTGTGTACCAGAGACTTGCCAAATTAACAACAGTAACTGAAGACAATGCAAACCAACGCCTCGATGCCATCTACCCCAAGCACTTCGAGGCCCTACGTAAAGCTGGCCTTGTGTCTAACCAAATTCCAACGCTCAAAGAAGAAAAACAATGTATGTCCGAACAGCAACAAAACAAGAAACCGTAACCAACCGAAAAGCCCAACAACGAGAGAGGGACCGAATGAGATCACTGTTCTTTTGCATTGGGCACTCCACAGCGTGGACGACCCCCATTCACAAAGTAATCAACGATCTCAAGAATGCCCACAATCTAGGGTGGATCAGGACATTGATGCCATACCACCGATTCACCAATCTCCGAGAAACATTCCAAGGTGACCTCTCAAGGAAGCTTACAAGGGACATCGTCTCGAGGGACTTCCGTAACGAATCATGCAACTGCCAACTCCGTAAGAAGGGTAAGAACGGCGAATGTCTATTTGGCAACATCTGCAGAAACAAGGTGGTACTATACTGTATCAAATGCACAAACAGCGGCATGGAATACGTTGGCACAACCCAACGTAATGTCCTCTTGGACAACGACCAAAAATCGGACTCATTCGCAAGACATTTTGCCGACCAATTCAAAATGATGAAACCGGTAAACAAAGAGGTCCTGCGGAACAACGTCCCAGTGAGTGTTCTATGGCAAGGTAACCCCATCAGCTGTGTCAAAACTTTCCGGACCCGACACTGCCAACTTTGCAACAAGGAAACACTTGAGATACTTCGACGTTCTCGAGAATCACCAGAAACAATGATCAACAGACGCAACGAAATCTACGGCGCCTGCCGACACAATCCAAAGTTTCACAAGTACATATAATTTAGCGCAGCACTGATGAGTCTCACAGAGGAGATGAAAGAGTCATGCCAAAACCAAAAAGTAACCACAGAGGCCGAAGCCTGTGTTTTAGTGATTTGGCGGTTGGTGACCTGTTTCAGTAAAATTTACTTAATCCAGTCACTCTTTTCTAAAATCGTATGGCAGACTTAAGACGGTACTTCAGAAGGAGCCATGGAGCCAAAAACTGTTGGAGCCACAGTTGACGAGATGGCCACATCTGGCTTCAGTCCATCTCGAATTCCCAGGAGGGTTCCCACAACAACTGCAGCAAGAGTGCACAGCAATGCAAACAAACGAACAACCAATTGCCGATTCTTCTTTTGCTGCCGCTGTTGAACCTCTTGTAGGTTAACTGGAGCTGCCAATGGCCTCAGTTGTAAGTCTGGATCTTCTTCATTAACCAAGTTTGCTACTGCCAAGGGGTCATTTCCATCAGTAGTAGAAGGTGGGGAAGAACCCAGAGATGCCAGTGCTGGCTGCGTGAGTGTAGGGGGTGGGGCATTGGTAGCATTAGCAGTGCTAAGTAGGCCATAGTTCAGGGTTGGTGTGCGGTGCATTGACTCCCCAGGAACGTAGCTGTAAGCCCCAGGACGAGCAGGCTCCTGGTAGGATACGGTCAAAGACGGATTATCCACTGTTTCCATTCTGCTGCTGTTTTCTGCTTGTCCCATTTGATTGCTTGGCTGTTGTTGTTGTTGTTGTCCAGATGATTTGTTGTGGGGGAAGAACAACAGCTGGCCACTTTGTTGGGTGTTGTCAAATCGGGCTTGAAGGTTTGTGAGAGAAGCAAATGCAGAATCGGTGTTGCTCGAGATCTCTTCGTTGGGATTAGATTTTGCGGGCATTTTGCTATCGTCTGTTTTCTCTTTTGGAAAGAAGGATAGCTGACCGCTCTGGTGGGGGTTGTCCAATCGAGCTGCCATGCCAGTAAGAGCCGTGTAAGCAGAATCTTCGACATTGCTGTGGCCGTTTTCAACATCTGCAACTCCTTGGTTTTCTTGTGTTTTTTTGGCTGCATGCTTTTGGTCTTTTGCTGCTTCGTGTCCTTCCATGTGAATAACGGCAGTGGTACTACTAGCAGTGGTAGCGGCAGTCGCGGTCAATTGCAAAATTTCTTCTCGATGAGCCTTTTCTTCGGGTGTCATTTTCCTTTCCACCGCTTTCAGCTCGTGGGTATCACTCTCATGCATACCGGTGGTACAGGTAGCAGCAGCGATTTGTTCCATGGCAGTAGTTGTGTCGGTATATGCAACAGTGGAAACTTCATGAGCTTGGCCGCCACCCTCGACGCTTTCGGCGGCTTCACTGTCTTGAATGTCTCGATCCTGCATTCTGGGATCCTCGGTGCAGGACTTCCACGGACCAACAGACTATATCTCTTCCACTAGCTAGCTATCTAGCCATAGCTATCTATCGATCTATGCTATCCCCCGTATGTGAAATAACACACTCCAGTTGAGGAGGATCCGCAGATAGAACATTGACGATCGACAGCTTCCAATAAGATCTTTCGCTGCGAGCTCTGCCTTTGCTTTTCTCTTGCAAGCTACTATAGCTAGCTAGTACAGGCAATTGGTCTAGTAGCTAGGTAAAGTTCTGATCAACCACAAGGAAAGATTTATTAACTCGATCGTTGAAGTGAACACTATTAGTAGAACACTCTACCTGGTACCGGTAGCCACTGTAACATACACTGTACCGTAGTTCCTGGGGGAGTTATGGTCAAGTTCCCGTGATCCTCTTTTGACTATTCAGCGGTGTGAGAGGAGGCTTATGCACAAGGAAATAGTACAATAGTACCTCAAAACGTTCCTCTTTGTTACGTGTAGGTACTGGTACACAAGCTATTAGTACTGAATAGCTACTGAATATGGGCATCCACCAGCACGTGCAGCAATATTATTCAAGGGAAACCAGACTCAAACCACATCCCGTGAGGAACGCTCGTTGATGGAGGTGATGGGTTGTGGTCGGTTCGGTTTGCCCCTGTACCAGGTACCGTTGGCCGCCGCTGGGAGTTGGGTGTTGCACAAAAGTGCCTAGAATCCTGCGAGAACGTTATGCTTGCAGTGCTAGCTAGGGTGGAGTCCTTCCATATCACTCAAGGATGAGCATGGACCAACACATCGCTATGCATTGGTCGCTGTCGTCGTTTACTGGCGAGATGCCGAAACCCAAAATATCTGTTTTGTAGCTGTCGCCTACCAAATGTGTCTGGTTGCAAATCATGGAGGAGCGTTTCCCTTGTCACGACGAGAAACGGCAACTGCCAGATTGGTATACTTTTATTATTGGATCGGATCGGATCCTCCCGTGGTACCTTGTCATGAGGTACTTACCGTACCGGTATGCCGCTGCTGGTAGATTGCAAAATGCTTCCGATTGCGGGGCCTACCGTACGGTATGGCCATATGGCTTTGATCGTCCTAACACAATCATAGTGCATCTTTGATGGCTTCTTGGTAAACCCGTCGCCATTCCTGCGACGTCTTTGAATTTCAAGTAGATGTGGTAGTTTTTAATGATGTACATGTATCAACATATTCTTGCATTATACGGGTATCCATATCCCTGTATTTACCTAAGCTACCGGTACCCGTGTAGCCTGTGTCCGACCAGTTTGAACATGCCGTGTGGCTGATCGTGTAGGGCTATCCCAGACACAAATGACGATATTCCATCTGATGCACAAGAAGCTGCTCTTCTTGTGAGGACGGGAACAACAAGATAGTGTACCAGGAAATATGGTAGAGCCCCTCACAATATAAGAGCACATCCCACAAGCTGCCTTGCACCGAACAACCCAGATCCGACCACAATCTCAGCCATGTGTGTTCCTGGGTGCACCAGGAGGACAGATCCAACGAAACCCCAATTTAAACTATGGCCTTGTTGGTTCTAATTCAGGCACTGATCCTGGTCCAGAAGATTCCTGTGTTGGAAACTGTACTGCTGCACGGAGAAAGGCTGGTACAGGCTAATGCCGTAGTGGATGATACGTGCCGATCCTGTTGATCTAACTAGCTAGAGAGTGGTTACAGTACTATGGCTTCGAGAGAGGGAACTATGGTGAGGGGGGAATACCTTGCCCATAGGCGTTTTCCCCCGAGCTCGATCCGCTTCCAACTTGGATGGCTTCTTCATAAACCAGCGACACATCGGAGATGACGGCGAAGTCATCAGCTGCAACCCGGTCACAGCACCAGGTTGCGCTCCCATGCAGTCAAGACGGTAACCTCCAAGTTCCAAACATCCTCGTTGGATAGTCGATACTACGATAGCTAGACAACCGCAATACAAAGGCTCCAGCAATTACTTCTCGATCGATCCCTTCCCGCAATACAATGAGCAACGAAACCGACACACCCGGGGTCACTGATATTAATAGCAGATCTGCGAATGTCATGACAACACGTAAAGATACCGGTGGTGCTCCTCCGGTCGCAACCTTGAACGGTACTCTGCAACGAATGGCCGAAGAAAGAGCCGCCAAGGAAGCAGCTCGAGCCACCGTGGACCGTAGTAATGTTATAACTGGCAGTGGCATAAATATTCCAGGAGCTGTCTTGGAGAGGAGTCAAAAAAAGAGACAGAAGGAAACCAGCATGCATACTAATACTAGTGAGGAGATCGTCAAGCCTGCTCCTACAGCAACTACCGGTACTGGTACAGCAACTAGTACCGCTATAGCAACAAAAACCCGTGGTCTCAAGAGATCTGCGGAAGAAAAGGCAGCTAAGGATGCGGCTCGACTTGGCACTTTGAATAGTGCAGCTGCCACCGTGGGCGCCTCTGCTGTTCTGCCCAGTCCGCCCGCTACGACGGCGCATCAGCGGGGACTGAAGCAACGATCGGAGAAAGAAAACGATGCCAAACAAGCTGCCATAGGAACTGCCATTTCAGCTACTAGCCCTGCCATTGCCATGGTCAACCCTTCCAAGGGGACAAAAGGCAACATGGATGTTGCCAGTTTGCAGCCTGGAGCACAGTTTGTAACGGTAACACCCGCAAGTGACTCTATTCGCAGCACTGCAGCGGAACGTTTGTCTACGACGACCATGCGCGGCCTTGCCAAGAACAGGAAATCAAACGTCTCGTCGGTGCAAACAGCAGCCATGGTGGCCGCAGAAAATAATACCCCTGGAAGCTTCAAGACAGAAACGGTGGCTTCGGTGGGTCTTGATGGGGAGGGAGTTGGAACCACCATTATCTCATCCGAAGATTCTACCACCAAGGCTCCTCCTACCGGTAGCGGTACAGCTGCCAAAATCGTCACGAATCAAACAGGGCGGCCACAAGTCGACACAGATGCTGATTTAGAAAATCAAAACCAGAGGATGAAAGAATCACTACAAGATATTACCAACGTTGGACTCGTGGAAGCCAGGGCCGTGGCAGAGGCATCTGCCTCGCAATATTTCCAGGAAGCTCAACAAGTGGATGATGCAGAACTGGAACAGCAAGCTGATAAAGCCGAAAGGGAGAGACAGAAGAAAGAAAAGGAGAGGCAGTGTCGGAGAATTGGATATGCTGTCATGCTGGTTTCCCTTGCCATTATCGCCATCAGCTTGGGCGTTGGGCTGAGGCCCCAAAAGCCAGGAAACACGCAAACAATGGGACCACAGGAAAAGGCTCGAGAATGGCTACAGAATCATCCAAACTATGACCAGCTATCAGATTGGAAGAAGAACCAGCTCTTGGCCTTGGCTACATTCTTTTATGCAATGCAGGGTGAGCATTGGCCAGACACCATTGAATCTGATTTCGGTATTGTGCGCCGTGACCGTTGGTTGGACTACACCAAAGATGAGTGTTTGTGGTATTCCAGACAGTCTGGTCCTCCAGTCCTCGCCAAAGAGGATCACGATTCTACCCTTAATAGTGGCCTGACGGATCTCCCCTCCCCATGCAACGAGCTTGGTAAATACACTTCACTGTCCCTTGCTGGTTTGGAGATGGGTTTGGGACTGGCAGGAATGAACCCTTTTCTACCATCAGAAATTGCCTTGCTATCCTCACTATCCAGAATTGACTTGGGTGACAACAGCATCCAAGTTCCATTGGCCAAGTTGATTTCGCCAGAGCTCTATGAGATGACTGGTTTACGGTCCCTCCTGCTTCCGGGTAATCTTTTCTCAGGCCAGCTTCCTACAGAAATTGCACTCTGGACTTCACTCACTCACTTGGACCTGTCCTGGAATTCACTCACCGGGTCAATCCCCAGCGAAATTGGAATGATGACAGCATTAGAAGAGGATTTGTTTCTATGGGGCAACCTGCTCACAGGTCAAATTGCTACAGAAATTGGTCTCTTGACTGGTTTGGCAGCATTTCGAATCTTTTCGAATGAGTTGACAGGCCGAATCCCTTCTGAACTTGGCCAGATGACTAGTTTGACACACCTGGCTTTGGACAACAACCATTTGTCAGGCCAGATTCCGTCAGAGCTTGGGCAATTGACTGCTTTGGATTGGATCTTTGCATTGAATCGAAATAATTTGGTGGGTCGAATTCCTTCGGAGCTTGGGCGGTTGAGTGATGTGGAGCTTTGGTTCTTATTGCATCATAATTTGTTGACAGGCCAGATTCCTTCGGAGCTCGGACTTTTGACTGATCTGAGTGGCTTGTATTTGGGAGCAAATTTGTTACACGGACAGATTCCTTCGGAGTTTGGGTTTTTGACTGGTTTGCAAGATCTGTGGTTGGCCGAAATGCAGTTGTCTGGACAGATTCCTTCAGAGCTTGCTATGAATAGCATCATGCTCAGTCTTTCCCTCGACCGAAATGCTCTATCAGGAAGGATCCCTAGTGAGTTTGGTGGGATGGAAAGCCTGACATCTCTTTCACTTCGAGATAATCTCCTTTCCGGTTCAATTCCTACAGAACTGGGGGATGCAACCAAACTCCAAGAGCTGGATTTGTCCAACTTGCCAAAGCTGACAGGAGCAGTTCCATCAGAGCTTTCTGGTTTGTCTGGTCTTTCACACCTGGATCTGGCGGGCAGTCGAGGTGTCACTGGCACCATGCCAACAGCATTGTGCGATCTGGATGACCTCTTCTTTTCATGCACAGATTTCCTTTGTGGCTGCTATTGCCAATGCCCACCGTCCTAGGTGGACAGTAGTAGTGTTATATGTTCATCCCTGAACTCCTGTGTTTGTACAGAATCAAGCAAGCGCCATTGGATTCTTTTGGAGCACTGCACTATCGTTAGCTCGTTCTAGTTCTTCAATGGGCGTAAGGCCGCCTATACTTTGCTGCAGGCTATTGTTGTGCTAAGCTCCTCTCTAGCTAGGTTACTCCCTACTCGCTCTTGGTTATACATACTTGCCTACACCTAGCTATGCTTATTCCGTTGTACGATCTTGCTTTTCTTGCTCCTCGGGGCCCAGACTCGAACGAGGGTTAGAATGCAAGACTCCAGTTCCTTCGGCGTCGTCGTCGTTGTCATCGTCGTCGCTGCCATGGTCGTCTCCATCTAGCAGAAAGGAGAAATCCAGACCGGGATGCCCGTCGAACATCATTCGCCAGCTTTGCGCCTCCTCTTCCACGGTTGTGGGTCGCGTTGGTGGCGGCTCTAGCTTTTCAACTGTGGCAGAGTCCTTGGCGGTGTTGCGGTTGTTGGAGTACATTGTTTTGGGTATTCTAGGTATAGCTGTGAGAGGGATTGCTTGAGTGTCCCTGCGCGTTTTGTGATCGAGGCCAGTGCAACCTCGAAATCGTCGCTGGGACCGATAGTAGTGTTCCATTTGAAAATACCGTATCCAAAGCATTTGTTTTCCAAACCGAACGCTTCTAAAGATGCTGCAAGGAACGAGATCGACTGGTGTTTGTCAATCGGGTTTACTATGGATTAGAGAGAGCTAAGATGAGGATGGAGACAGAGGTCAAGGGGGGCACGACGCAAAAAGGCGTGAAGCCGACATCCGAACTCCTCGACTATTGATCGCGCCGGGTCACACGGTTCAAGCCATGTTGACTCGAGGAAGCACTCTTGGATCTATCCATCTGTGGCGGTACATGCAAAACTCCAAGCAACCTCTCAAGGAGCTTCCCAATTCTCGTTCAAGCTCCACCCTGCCTCCCTCGACGTCGCCGGCACTTTCAACAAAGTTTCAGCTGCGATTTTTGATTGCCACACCCAGCCAAGAGTACTGATGCGAGGAAGCGAACTGCCAAAGTGCATTGGCCGCAGCAGCCCTAGCTGGGACAATACCGGTCTGACTACACACAATGAGTTCTCCACACTAATGTATCATATACTACTTTTTAGTAGCTACATGTACTGTCTGGCAACCGTTTGGTGCCACCGCATGTGCCCACGCATCTTACCGTCCAGTGCTTGTGGCTCCACGCCACAAGGACCGTTGTAGTAATGCGGGGACTGTACATGTAATCATTTACGCATTTCTCGTCTCACGGTGCTTGTTCTATCACAGCACAAGGACAGTTTGTGCTGGCTAGCTAGGCACGGAAGCTGCAAGCAATCTTTAGCTTTGGTGCTTCGGATCGTCAGCTTCTGGCCGTTCAATACCGTCCCAGCCGTGCTCTTCGTGCGGCTTCTCGGGCCTCTTGGGCTTCGCGTCTGGATCGCTCCAAGGCCTCTTGCCTGGCTTTTTCTTCCGCCTCCACGGCCATTGCAAAGTTGAGTGCTGTGTTCCGACGTTGCTTGGGTTGTGCTGGACTCGCGCCACCACTACGGGCCTTTCTTGCTGCCTCTCTGGCCTCTTGCGCTTCGCGTCTTGATCGCTCCAAGGCCTCCTGCCTGGCTTTTTCTTCCGCCTCCATGGCCTTTGCGAAATTGAGCGCTGTGTTTCGGCGCTGTTTGGGTTGTGCTGGAGGAGGGGCTGCAGCACCTCCCATTCTGGCTTTTCTCGCAGCCTCGCGGGCCTCTTGGGCTTCGCGCCTGGAACGCTCCATAGCTTCTTTTCGGGCTTTCTCCTCTTCATCCTGTGCCATTGCCATATTGATGGCAGTATTCCGCCTCCTACCAGCAAAGGAACCAGATCTAGCGGGCTCCTCTGGCTCATGCTCAGACATGTCTTCGACGTACTCTTCCTCCGACTCGTCCTCTTCAAGCTGAACGGCAAGAGCAGGGCTGGTGCGTGGATTCCGAGCAGGAGTCAAGTCATCCTCGCCGTCCACCTCACTCTCCGACAAATCCAATCCCATGGCATTCAAGGCCATGGCCAATGAAGACGATCTCTTTTCGGGGTTGTTGGCGGGAGTATTTTCTTCTTCGTCCTCAGTCTCGTTGACTGGGACCTGCAAGTTCACAGCAGATTTCCTAGCACTGAAACGCACTGGTGACACAGGAGGCGACTCTTCTTCGTCTTCATTGATGGGCAACTGGAAGTTTACGCTCGATTTCCTGGCACTGAAACGTACTGGGGAAACTGGAGGAGACTCTTCCTTGTCTTCGTCATTGATGGGCAACTTGAAACTGATTACTGACTTCCTCGCGCTGAAACGAACAGGGGAAACTGGAGGGGACTCTTCCTTGTCTTCGTCATTGATGGGCAAATTGAAATTCATTACTGACTTCCTCGCGCTGAAACGAACAGGAGATACTGGTGGTGACTCTTCTTTGTTGTCATCGGCTACCGGCAACATGAAATTAAGTACCGATTTCCTGGCGCTGAAGCGAACAGGGGACACTGGTGGCGACTCTTCCGCAGGGAGCTTGTCCTCATCCCCTCCCTCGCTTTCAGATATGTCCAGGTCTGAGGAGTTGAATTTCATTGCCATCTCCAACACAGACTTCCTTCCTTTAGCTCGCTGGCGGAAGTCCTCTGGTTCTTTGCGAGGCTCTGGCTTGGGTGGCTGCCAGGAGCTTCTCTTGGACCTCCTGGCAGCCTCTCGAGCTTCTTGGGCTTCTCGTCTAGACCTCTCCATAGCTTCCTTTCTGGCCCTTTCCTCGTCATCTTGGGCCATTGCCATATTCACTGCGGTGTTCCTTCGGAGAAAGGCACTGCTGCGGGCAGTAGGCTGTTCGTTTTCTGCTGCCTCCTTCGTTGGGTTGCCAGAGTTGCGATTGAAAGAGGCTGTTCGCGACTGCATGGCTGGGAGCTCGGTCAGGTCATCTTCGCCGTCCGCTTCGCTGTCAGACATATCTAATCCCATGGATTTTGCCATGTCCGAGACAGAGTCCCTCATCGCATTTCCGCTAGTAGCGAAATCCCGTTTGGGTGGCTGTTCCTCGTCTTTGCCTTTGTTGGACTCAAACGCCATGGCAATATCCAAGACCGACTTTCTTGGTCGAGCACGACCAGACGCTGACGATGACGCTGCTGACGACGCTGACAGCCTTGCCATTTCTCGTGCCTCGGCAGCTTCTCGGCGAGATCTGTCCAAAGCTTCTTGTCTTGCCGCTGCTTCCGCCTCCATTGCCAATTTCATGTTGATGACCGTATTCCTCCTGGGAGCTGCAGATGACTGACTCGACCTCAGACTCTCTCTGGCTTCAGCAGCTTCCCTCCTGGATCTCTCCATGGCTTCCTGCCTTGCCGCCTCTTCGGCCTCCATTGCCATCTTCATAGTATCGTCCTCCGCGGCATCCTCCTTGCGAGTAGGTGCCGTTTTGGATCTTCGGAAAGTGCTCTTGGCCGCGTTGGAAAATGCCGATGAGAAAGATAGCTTGCTACTGCTGCTGCCATTGTTGTCGGAAGGTTCCTTTTGCTTCTTGGAGCGAGACAATCGGGCAGTGCGGGACACGCGAACATTTTTATTGTTGGGCGCTTCTTCTTCCGCTTGTGGCTCTTCTCCAACGTCCTGCTGTTGTCGTGCATCTTCCGCTTCTTTCTTGGATCGTTCCACTGCTGCCTTTCGTGCCTTTTCTTCTTCTCTGGCGGCCTTTTTGCTGCTCTTGCTGCCCTTGGACGAAGCCGACCCCGCCGAAGCGTTGCTGTTAGTACGACGAAGTCCAGTGGATGTAGCCACGCGTCGCAATGCTGATCCCAAGGATGAGCGCTTTTGTTCCGGGGCACTGTCGTCCTCGTTGCTGGAATTGGAAGAACAGGAGGAAGAGGACATACTGGCCGTGGAACAGGTATTCTTGCTGTTGTGGCTGGACCGAGATCGCAAGCTGTTGTTGGAGGATTCATTCGAGTCTCGACGACCGTAGCTGCTGTAGGAAGAGGAGGGTCGATGCGCAGCAGGGTCATCATAGTGATCATTGTACTCGAGTTCGTCCAGGCGCATGGAATTGTTGTGACAGTCTTGTTGGAATTGTTGTTGTTGCACGTCTCTCCTGGACTTGGACATGGCTTCTTCAAAGGCTGACTCTTTTTTGTAAAAGGATCGGCGGCGACCGACCGCTGCCAGTGCTCCTCGGACATGAGCCACATCGCTCTTTTTGGGACTGTGACAGGCAGCATTTCGCGCGTCGTCATCATCATCCTGGTTGAAACTGACGTTCCTTTTGGGTGCTTGCTTGTTGCTGTCGTCAGCAGCACTGGTGGAAGCAGGAGACGTGTTGGTACGCCTCAAAATGAGATCTTCCCATTCCTCTTGGCTCGACACGAACATGGATGGCACTCCATCCATGTTCTTTTTCTTGCCCAAGGTGGGTTCGCATGTCTTGCTTCGTCGCAATCCCATGCTCCCGGTGGAATTCCGGAGTCCTTGTGCTACGGCGGCACCTCCTCGAACCGGAGCTGCCGCAACTGACGCTGCAGCAGCTGCCGCCAAACTGGCAGCTCCAGCCGAAGTTCGCACAGCGGCCGAGACGGCTGACACACCACCCTTGCCGACCGTTGAGACCGCATTGACTCCACCCTTGCCGACCGCCGTCACTGCATTTACACCTCCTTTTCCAACTGCTGTCACGGCATTCACGCTTCCTTTTCCAACCGCAGATACTGCATTCACGCCACCTTTTCCAACCGCCGTCACCGCGTTGACACTTCCTTTTCCAACCGCAGATACGGCATTCACGCCACCCTTTCCAACCGCAGATACTGCATTCACACCTCCTTTTCCAACAGCAGTGACAGCATTGACACTGCCCTTTCCAACCGCGGAAACGGCATTCACACCTCCTTTTCCAACCGCCGAAACGGCATTGACTCCTCCTTTTCCAACGGCAGTCACAGCATTGACAGAGCCCTTGCCGACGGCCATGGTAGCATTGGCAGCTGTCTTGCCGGTGAATGTGACGGCATTGACTCCGGCATTTCCAACCGCCAATGTGGCATTGACACTTCCTTTTCCAACCGCCATGGTGGCATTGGCGGCGGTCTTGCCCGTGTACGCCACAGCATTGACTCCCGCATTTCCAACGGCCAAAGTAGCATTGGCAGCAGCTTTTCCAGTGGCAGCGGCAGCATCCACCACGGCCGCCGCGAGACGTCCCATGAGACGTTGTTCGGCACGAGCTTGCTTGTATGCGAGATATTCGGGATTGTGTTCTTGTTCGAGTTGAATCATTTCCTTTCTCATCTTGGTATCATAATATGGATCAATCTGTTGTTTGGTCTTGTTGTGTTGGAGAACGTAGGGCAAATCTCCGACGGTACCACTGTAGCAACAATCGACCAACATGGTGCTGTAAACGCCTTCCGGCATGGCCTTGATGAGATCCTTCATGATCATTTCATCACTGACTTGACCGGCCTTTTTATAGTCGGATGGACAAATGTAGAGTTGATTACCAACGCGTCCACCGTGTCCAGTAAATTGAATGAAACAGACATCGCCCGGTTGCGATTGTTGTACCAACTTTTGAAATCCCTGTAGAATGTTCCGTTTGGTGGGTTTTTGGACACTGGGTTGTTCGTAGTAATCTTGCAACACGGTAATGTTGTGTCGTTTGAATCCACAGTGTTTTTCGAGAAACTGTTGAATGTTGGTAATATCATTGGGTGGTCCCTTCAAATCAGGCCCTTGTCCGGTAATGACACCAATCAGGAGTGCGCGTCGTGTGCCCCGAGTATTGTCGGGCGGCACAATATAAAAGGGTGCGTATTCTCCTCGATCCATTCGTGGCGGTCCCAGTGGTCGTGACGACGAAATGGTGGGATGCGCCGTCAATTTGGTGCATTTTTTAATGCGTTGCTTGAGTTGACGTGACAATTCGAAAACGGAAATGGGAGTTCCACTCCCACCGGCAATCATGCGATTTGGATTCTCGTACATCAACTGCAACAATGCGGTAGTCGCGACGGACCCGGCATTGGCTTTCATGACAAACTTTGGCACGTGTCGTTTCATGTCAAAGTTTTCCATGGCAAAAAAGTCTTCTTGCGCTTGTGTGCGATCGTCTTGACTGGCAATGAGGACGAATTCGGAAGGAATACACCGTCGAATGGCCAATTCAAAGGGAACATTGTCTTTGGCAGCACTGCCCAGTGTTAACATGTCTCCAATGGCGCCCGTCACACTGGACGTGACACTGCTCGATGAACTGCGCGGAGCATTGGCAGCAAGTTTCTTATTGCTTGTTCTCATTCCAGTCACACTTGCTCCGCTGGATCGAGTCGATCGAATCGAGTCATTCGACGAGGTCGTGTTGCTGCGTCGGAGTGGCGATGTATTATTATTATTATTGTTGCTGCTGCTTTTGCTCCTGCTTTTCTTGGGAGATGCGGTAGTCGCTGAGCGAAACATGGACGGAACCGCATTGGCTGTGCTGGTAGTGGCTGTGCGTCGGAGTCCACTGCCACTGCCACTGGTACTAGTCGTGCTGGTCTTGGCTGTGGAAGTGGTCGCACTGCGTTTCAATCCCGGTGCACCTGACGCTGATTTGGTAGTAGCCGACCGACGGACGTCATTGCGACCAAATCGCTTTGGGTGACTAGCAGAGGCTGTGGCGATCATCTTGTTCTAGAAGATAGATAGATAGATAGACTAGTAGTCAAGAAGAAGATGATGATGGCGAGCTAGTGCTGTAGCCAAGGGTGCGATGGAAGGATGGATGGTTTGTGGGAAAATTGTGGGAAGAGGCTCCAAAATTGACACCAGCATTTTAGAAACATCGGCATATTTACGGGATGTATGTTCGGGAAGCAGTACCATGGTACACTGTGTACCGGTGACCAAGAAGATTTAGAAATTACATCAAAGAATTACCAAACTCTCATAAATCCTCATAGAAACAATGACTGTTGTTCTATCCATGACGATTTGGAAATGATCACTATTTACCACGGCTTGAAATCAGTTTGAATTTGTCGGGAGCTTCTTATTGCGGGTTCACCACGGATTGAACAGCAAACAAAAAGAGAACAGCTACTCGGAGATTCACAAGGTAAGTCCTGGACAAATCCAAAGAGGCCACCATGCAGTCATTGAAAACTACTTCACTGGTCACAAGCTACTGTTACCCTGCTGAAACCGGGGTAAAAACACCGTTGTACAAGTGTACAAGTCTACTGTACTGTACTGACTGACACACTGCTGCTTGGCAGACGGAAGAAGACTATTAATAAGTAAAGAATGTCCAAGAAACAGTTGCTTCAAATCACTGCACAAGCTACTGTTCTGCTGAAACCGGGGTAAAAAGACACTGTTGGTTCATGGAACCTACAAAAGTAAAAGCTTACTGTACTGATTGACACACTGGTATTGGCAGCCGGACAGAAGTAGAGAATGTCCAAGAAACATTTGCTTCAAATCAGTAAACACCACTCTAACTAAGACCATGCTCTCTCAATGGTTACGGTACGATCTTGAAGTGCCAGACGAGCATCCAGAATACATGTATTTGCTTGTCGCATGTTCAAGCAAGTAAGTAACCTCTTCCTTAATCAACGGAGATACGATTGGGCACCATTTTTGATTGCATAATATATCCGTACCGGTATCACTGTACCGTTACCGTACCGTACGATCGGATCAGCCCACCAGTAACACAAACAAGAGCGAGCTAGTCTATCGGTATCGGTAGCAATCAATAGGTACCGGTACCGTCTTTGGACACGTCGATTGATTGATTATATTGGTGCACCACTCTCATGCATGTTGCATGCATGCATGCATGCAACCGAGATCATTCGATTCGATTCGAGCAGCAGCATTGGACGCAGCTGGAGGTGTTGCAGCTATATGCTATACCGGTACATGTACCGGTACAACAACAAATAAATGAACCCACTCGCACCAAAGTTCATAATATGGTTTTCAGCAGACTTGTTGGTTGGGAATACCCTTATCCTTCGGGGTCAGGCAACTCCTCGTCTGAATTCAATCCGTAAAAAGTAAAAAATAAACTTGGGAGGAAAAAGAAAAAAAGCCAACGTTGTTCTGCCGGGGGGTACAGTACAGTAGATACCTCCGTACCAGTTGTGAGATGAAGTACATGACATTGTTGTAGGAGGAATCGAAGCAGTGATCGGGATCGCCAGCCCCAAGCCGCACTCGACCCATCGGTACCACGGGATGCTCGTACCATACTTAGCTTCGCGATTCGATTGAATCATTCTCAGAATGGTAGCCATCGCTTATAAGGAGTATGAGGAAGCACTTCCAACTACTGTGACGAGACTGTACCCTGAACCGTTCCACAACTGCACCTCTTGGGGTCTTTTCTGACTTGTTTCTGAACAGCAGTTTTATTGCGATACGCTGTGTTAACAGAGGGATAGGGTTAGAATAAATGGGTTCTTTCGGCGAGAGTACTGAAATTTCTATAGTAGTTGTCAATGTCGATCCTTCTCCGTGATCTGGGGGTCATAAAGTCTGATGCAGTCTGACGGGTTTTGGAACATACCGCAGAAGCCATTCTTGATGTTGTGTTGGCAGAGACCCACGAGGCCACGCTTGGGATTAGCATGCTGCACATCATATAATATGCATTGCTAGTGCATTACCAAACTGAATGGCTTCAGGCAGGGCATGGTGTGACATAGTTTGGTTGACTGAGAGCCAACCCCAGTCCTATGTGTGATCGCCGATGAGTCCTAGTTTTTGGTCTCTCTCTGCCTTCACTTTGGCCTCAGATAGCAGCAGACAGGGCTCATCATTGATCAGGTCGAAGGGAAGGACAGCCCAGAGCTTAATCTCAATGAATTCGTAGAATTCTCCCTCTCTGAGGAAGTCAGAGTTCTCGGTGCAGATTTGTGGTGACTTCGATAGATGCTCTCTTCCTTCTGTTCCGTCATTCAGGGAGGTGATTTGTTATGTACGGGGACCCCATGGTCTTACCAATTGCAGAGCAGGGAGTGGCTGGATCATCCACTTCTTCCAGGTTGGGAGCGAGGTAGGACCACCCTCTGAAGTGGGTGACAAAGGCTTCCCAGTGTTCTGCCTGCGAGTAGGCCGCCTGAGCACAGGTTTTGGCCTAGCTTACCTATACATAGTCTGTCATTTCCTAAGGATGAGGGGGGGGCTAGTATTTTAGTGGAAGTTCTTTCTGTATCTACAGATTGTTGGGGATTCGCGATTAGGGATTCAACCCTGTACCTCTGTACTAGAATTTCACACCACCAGTAGAAAAAGCAAAGGAACCACTTTTTCAGTAGTATCTCAATAGCAAGACAATGGTAAACTAGAGAGCTTCTAACATACTACTGAAAAAGCTGACTGCCTATCCACAACAGACAGAGGATAGAGCAGTAGTCGGTGTATCGAAGCAAGAAGAGACCGTACGCAACGAACGAGCGCCTACGGATCGTCGTGCCGAAGAACAAGGACGACGACGCGAGGAACGCGAGGATCAGTCAGTCAGTCGACGACGACGACGACGACGACGACGTGAAGCCGATACCGACGACCAGGAGACTGTTGAACGAACGACAGCAACAAGAGCAGAGGATCCGAGGACGGATCCAAGCGACGCGACGACGCAACGAGCGACGACGCAACGAGAACAAGATCGGCCGACGACGGATCGTTGTGCCGAAGAGGAGACTGCCATCGACGCCGACGCAGCAGCAACGTAGAGTTTCGTCGGTAGAATCCACAAGGATTACCGGCAGGAAGGTTGCTTGGCAAGGAGAGCCAGCAACAGCGCGAAAGCCATAGTGCCAGCGCAGGGACCAAGGACGGGTACCCACCAAAGGAATCAATCAGCAAGGATCTACAAACCGTTCGTGACAATGGATAAGAAAGGCAACAAGCAGTTGCTACTGCAATGCTTAAACACCATCTACGGTACCATGGTAGCCAGCCTACTATACTACCGTAAGTTCCGGAAGACGATGCTCCGGAACGGATTGAAAATTAATCCCTTTGATCCATGTGTAGCCAACAGAATGGTACACAGCAAGCAACAGACAGTCTGCTGGCATGTAGACGACTACAAGCTTAGCCACAAGGTTTCGAAGGTTTACGACCAGCTGATCCAAGTGCTTCGTGATGAATACGAAAGCATATTCGAGGACGGCACTGGAGAGATGACGGTGAGCCGAGGAAAGGTCCACACGTATCTCGGCATGACCGTAGACTTCAGGACGAAGGGTCAATGCAATGTATCAATGTACAAGTACGTTGATGAAATCCTGGAAGCCCTCGAGAAGGCATCACCAGAGGAAGGGGGCACGAAGACTAGAAGTAGTGCAGCCCCGAAAGACCTATTCACAGTAGACGAATCCTGCAAGAAGCTCCCAACGAGCAAAGCAGACACCTTTCACAGCCTGGTGGCTAAGGTGTTGTTCGCTACGAAGAGAGCCCGACCAGACACAGGTACGGCGATCTCGTTCCTCACGACTCGAGTGAAGGAACCAGATAGGCAGGATTGGAATAAACTAGTCCACCTTATGCAGTACATTAGACGTACTAGGAAACTACCATTGGTTCTCAAAGCCGACGGAAGCGGCATATTGAAATGGTATGTGGATGGTTCTTTCGCAGTCCATCCAAGCATGAGGGGTCATACCGGAGGTGGTTTGACCATGGGCACAGGTTTCCCATTAGCAACTTCGACGAAACAGAAGTTGAACACGAGGAGCTCAACTGAGAGCGAACTCGTAGCAGTTGATGACCTGATGCCATCGATCCTTTGGACGAGGCAGTTCCTACTGGAGCAAGGCTATGTAGTTAAAGAAACTATAGTCTATCAGGACAACAAGAGTGCCATACTTCTAGAAAAGAATGGCAAAGCTTCTAGTAGTAAACGAACGAAGCACATCAACATTAGGTACTTCTTTGTGAGCGACAGAGTCGCAAAGAAGGAGATCAATGTGGACTGGTGTCCAACTGATGACATGGTTGCGGACTTCTGGACGAAGCCGAACCAAGGACGACTGTTCAAACAGAACGTCGACAAATTGATGGGTGTAGTGGAACACTCAAAGCCAGGGCACTCAGTAGGAGGGTCACGGCCGGACAAGAAGGTCCGTTCAAAGAAGGAGCGCTAAGCAGAGTAAGTAAGTAAGCATGGTCAATGACTAGGACAAGCTCGACGACCACAGGAGTGTGTTGGGGATTCGCGATTAGGGATTCAACCATGTACCTCTGTACTAGAATTTCACACCACCAGTAGAAAAAGCAAAGGAACCACTTTTTCAGTAGTATCTCAATAGCAAGACAATGGTAAACTAGAGAGCTTAGTGAATCTAACACAGATGAGGACAGCGGTTGGCGCTTCCTAGGGCATTCGTGTCGTAGGATGGCTGATCGCTTGTTTAGAGATGTAGCATTGTGTGAGGGGTTTGTTGAGTGTGCATGTGCATGGTGATGTGACGGAGGTGTTGAAGTGAAGGAGGTGTTTAAGTTGAATTTGAGCTTTAGGGAAGGCTTCACAGGAGAGATATCATGGTCAAAGGGTCGGAGACCAAACTCCTCGCTGGGCATAGAGGCGACAGTTGCTGGATAGGGCGCGACAATAGTCGTCGCCATAACATGTGGGGAAACTCAGGGCTGCAGGTCAGCAACGCCACTGTCCTTGAAAACGGTATATGGAGTTTCTGAACTGCAGCGACCAAGTAGCTAGCACTTGTGTATAGTGGCACCCTTGTATGTGGACGTGCAGTTTCCTTTGATGGCCCAGCCCATGCATACTCCATTCACTGCCTACTAGGCCTGCAAAGGGGTTGAGAATTCAGGCAGTTAGACTGCCGTGGTAATTTCCCTCTATTTAGTTCATACTTTTACGTGGAACTCCCCACCACCATGTCATGCTCCACGTGGACCTCAGTTTGTATCAAGGCATTTGGACATTCAGAATCACCTCCACCACATGGTTGAGCCCCACACGGGGTTCCAAGTAGGTTCCGGTGACTTTCAAATGCAGTTGGTGGGGTTATTGTTGTTGGTTTGGTTTCTGGTCTGGGGCTTGGCAAAATCGAGGTGGAGTCATTGAAAGGCAACACTCAACCAGAGGAGTCGGAGCCGGAGCCGGTACGTGGCAACACAGACAACCAGAGGAGATTCCTTTGTTGGTGCCCATTTTCCAGCAGGTACAAGAATTCCTAGAGCGAGTTGGTGGGATTTGCCCTTGGCTATAGGGTACTTGACGTCCACAACGACTTGGTTTTACTGGAAGGATGCTATCATAGATCACTAGACTAGATATGATGATAACCTTTCCTCATACAGTAGATTGGCAGCATTGGATGCAGATTTGTCACCTTTACTGCAGAGGCGCTTCAGTCACAGATCTTTCGTTGTTGGTTCGTTCCTTCTTCTCATTTGACCATGAACTCCTGCAATTATCTGGTGGCATTTGTCGTTGCCAAGCCAAACCAAGCATCAGACTCTGACTTGACTCCATCACTCGTCTGATTCGACGCACTCACTCCAGTCGAGTCTCTGCTCTTGCGATGACTCTTTGTCGCTCACATTTTCCTCGAATTCCTCACTTGCTTGTTCTTGCCCCCCCCGCCTTCCGACAATAATGAGCAAGCAATCCAACACACCCATACCGGTATACACACCCATGCACGCGTCTACGCGTCTGCATTCTTGGCTGATCGCACTAAAAGCAGCCAAAAGCGAGATGTCAGGCGTTTCCTTCTTTACATCAACCATTTGTGAGATCTTCTGCCCCCTGTACTATCCCCGCAGAATGCATGATATCTACACTTGGCACCCTTCGGGGTCATATCTTCCGTCCGCTTTGATCCGCTCCGCGGCTTGGGCAAACTCTACTTTCGTGCTGGACGATTTGTGTTGCTTGCTATCATATCTACGGGTAGCTAGCTAGAGCTAGAGCTAGAGCGAGTAGGTTGGCTGCTGTACCGATACCGGTACTAGTATACGCAAGCAACGGGGTGTTCACGAGGATTTTGGAGCGCTTCGGTCCCACAAGCAAGCAATCTTTGGGAACGACGATTGCGTCTCGATGAACTCTCGATGTCGGATTCGATTCGATCGGTTTGCAGACCGTACCGGTACAGGGTGTACTAGCTACCGTAGCTACTAGAGGCTCTATAGAGGAGTAGGGAAATGCATTCAAGAAAGTATCTTCTGATCGAAAAGAGATTAAGTGGCTGGCACTGGTCAATCGTCAATTTTAAGCTGGAGAGAGTACTAGCTAGTACTGTACGATGCATCCATCGGTTATGCAAACCTTTGGTCATGATGGCAAGCGTTGGTCACACGCCAAAGTCCATGACCATGGAGTTCGACGTACCGTATACTTGGCTGAGGAAGAACAAGTACACTTTGACGTTCCTCGTTGAGGCTTCACTTACTTGATGAAGAAAGAGTTGCTGGTCAACGATGAAAGGATTGGTGCTCTCCAAGTCCTTCGTCACTTCGTCATACGGCGCAGAATTTTGTGGCTGTTGCGCCCCAAGGCAACAACCAGGCAACAAGCCGCCAATTGGTTACCGCTACGGTGCAGTCACCGTCATGTAAATGTAACCAGTGCTCCCAGTGTTCCAATGCCCATGTCACAGCCCTCTGCCAAGTGCACTCCCAAAAGAGGATTGTTTCGGCGTCTTACAAAGCCTGCGAAGGTCAGGACACTGGGAACTCTCAACTAAGTCTTTGATACCGGTACCGAAGAAACCGTGTCCAGGAAGGATTCTTCGCTTCCGTAATTTCCACTTGTCATAAGACCGTTTTCTCAATGGTTACGGGTAAAAGCCTAAAAGTGCACAACTCGAGCATCCAAGAGCTATCCATGACACACTGACATCCAATGTCGCATGTTCCAGTAACCTCTTTGGAAAACAGGAGACATAAGCACCGACCATGTCGGCAGACATCAATCTTCTCAATGGTGACGCTACTGTAAACCCATCCATGTTCAAGTACAGTAGTAACCTTTACTATTTTAAAATACACCCCATGGGAACAGCGCGTCTCCCTGGTATTTTGCCAATTTAACAAAATAGCCTTCACTTACGTTGATTTTGCAGGGATTTGGCATCCAATTTAAATACGCTCCTCATTCCATGTAAAATGAAGAAACTCAAACAAAATGGTTCAAGAATTGCCTCAAGGTTCTAATTAGAGATGAATAATTCAATCATTCAATCGAAACGACAACGTTTTAATAATCACAATTTTATCAATTGCTTCAAAAAGCTTCCTATTTTCAGCAAAGGGGAAACGACACTTGAATGGCGGGGCCTATCACTTCTTGCTAAAGGCCGGCTACCGGTTACAGATCAGCCTCTCTCATGGATTAATTACGTCAGCAGGATGGCCGCACATGCCACTGGTACCAAGATCCATCGATTGAGCCTTTTACCGTAGGATTGGTACAGACCATGTATGGTAGAGCTTCTACATGTATGTTCCGTGAAGCTCCAAGGTGGGGATCTTTTTGGCATTTGACGAACCAAGATCCACTGATGGAGCATTTTACCCCATGGTAGGTAGAACTTGGTAAGAAAGCTGCCAAGCGCCGCATCCTTTTGTTTTTGACCCTCGAGATGGAAGGATTCGATTTTCCTCTCACTCTTTGTTGTCCAGCAACAAAAGAAACCCAAACAAATCGAGAGAAAATCAAACAAGACGAAGAGAGTTTTTGAGCTTTCGTTGCCTGATTGATTGCTGCTTACTAAAGGTATAGTAGCTCTTCAGTAAGATAACAGATTGACTGACTGTCTGTGTGCGCCGCCAGCACGAGCTTAAGCTATTCCGAAACCACCAAGAAAGATAAGAGACTCGACTCGGACTCGACTCAGACTCAAGATGAAGATGGCCGTTAGCATCTCACTGTTCTTGGTCATTCTCCTCGGAGTGGTCTCTGCCTCTGATGTCAATGTTGGCGCGGGTGTTGACGTTGGCGTCGATGTTGACGTAAGGGACATTGACGCTTCCAAGAATCTCAAGACTGACCATCAGACGACCTCCTTTGCCGAAGAGTTCATTACTCCCACCTCCACGGCCTCCATTTCCGATGAACCCGAACCTAACGCTGAAGCTACCAAATCCCAAGAAAAAGAAAACCAAAAAAATCCAGAAAAAGAAGAAAATGACGGGATTGACATGGAAGCTCTCGGTGCCCCTTTTATCGACCCAAAATCAAAATCAAGTTCCGATCCCGACTCTCCCCTTACTCTTGCCTCGCTCGATTCGGTTGAGAAAATCAAGGATCAACTCAAGATTCATGACCTCAAACCACCACCAGCCAATGACGGAGACGGAGCTGGAGATACTACCAAGGATCGAAACATGACGCCTCCCACGACCACTACTGATTCTACGGTGGATCCTATGACCGACGCGGCTGTCGATGCCGGCGCCGCCACAACGGAAGAAGAGATGGCATCCACCCCTGAGGCTGCCAAGGAAACCAAGGAAGAAGATTCCGAAACCACCGGCAGTATTGGTCGACACCGTAAATTGACGGCACAAACGGATTGGTTGACGGGAAACACCCGCATGTACGGACCTCGAGAGACTGCCAGCCTCGCGGATGGTTGGGCAGCTGCCAATGACTTCTGCCATCAGCAAGGTGGTTCTCTTGCTACTGCCGCTGAGATCTGTCCTCCCGATGGGAATGCTGCCAAGTCCCGGCCACTCTTTGGAATCCATAAGGGAGGTGGCGGTAGCACTAATCCTAACAATTGGGTGCCCGTCGGCAACCGAGAAAACCAATGGATCAACATTGGAGACAGTGCTACCTACCCCACGTGTACCTTTCATGGCGGTGCCGGTGGCAGTGGACATGTACATGGATGGGCAAATTTCATTGTGTGTCGTTCGAACTGGTTCAAGTACAAAAATGTAAAGGCGACAGATGTTGGCGCCGGTGCAGATGGCGCTCTTTGGGTGGTAAGTCTATATAGGACATGCCTGTATGGTCTCACTTCGGAGACCAGCTATTCCCTAACTCTTGATTTTCTTTGTGTCATGCTCGGTCCTCCATTCGGTGGCTTGTGTAGCTTACCGACTATGACCACGATGTAGATGGCCGTGGTTGCTACGGAATTAAACGCCACGATGGAAACGATTCGTGGACAACTATTGGCGGATGTGCCCTGAAAATTTCTGTGGGAAGCAGCGCCCACATTGTGCTAGGTTAGTCCAAAAGAACATTGTGCTCAGACTACTCGCCGAAAAATTATCATGTCTTGATTGAAGAGCATACTCGTGGAGTGTGGGTGCCAGCCAAACTAACCAATGCTACTTTTGCCAATGCGTTGCCCACAGCAAATCACCATGGGGATATTTACAAATATGGAGCTGGTGGTTGGGGTCACTTGCCTGGCCAAACTGCTCGTGATATCAGTGTCACTGCGGATGGAAGCATGTGGATTACAAAGCTGGTCTCTGGATATGCCTACGGAGATATCTATCGCAAGCTCCCCACAGATGCCTCCTTTGTGCATTATGGAACTGGTGGAGACCGTATTACAGGTTTAGGTCCGAACAAGATTGCACAATGTAGCTTTTACGGAGGCCAAAACCACATCTATATCAAACAAGACGGTGGTAGTTGGTATATCGCAGGAACCTGCGATGGCGGAGATGTAAGTTACGCCACTGATGGGACCTTGTGGACAACTGCAGCCGTGAATGCACAATCAAGTCTTGGACAACCCCGCAAGTCCTTCAGTTCTACCGCCACGGCCACGAAGTGGGCACTTCCGGTTCTAGGACCTTCAGGTGGAAATATTGCTGCTGTGAGCGCCAACAAGTTCTTTATGGTTGATTCCAACAATGACCTATGGAAGTATGAAATACCACCCAAGAGAGAACCAAACGGGATCACTCGGGTCTTTGGACCCACCGAAACTGCCAACATCAAGTCCTTTGATCAAGCGCAACAGTTCTGCGAGTCCCAGGGAGGATCTCTCGCTTCCAGTGCTGATGTTTGCCCATTGGATGGCTCAAATCAGCCGTTCTTTGGCATCCAGGCTGTAGATCAGTGGACCCCAGTCTCGGATTATCACAATGCATGGATCCAGGTGGGAACCCATGGATCAAATCCACCTTGCATTTCTCACCGAGACATAGCCAATGACAATCCTGCCTGGGGCCTCGATGGATCCACCAAGGTGGGACCTGAGGCCAATTATGTTGTCTGCAACATGAAAACATCCATCTACGGGCCCAGCTATACATCCAATGTGAATTCCTACGCACAAGCGCAAGACTTCTGCCTAGCCAGAGGAGAAACTCTTGCCTCCATATCCGACATTTGTCCACCGGGAAGGTAAGGCTATCAGCTAGTCTGGTCTTCAAAGCACACATGAAATGTTTTTGTTTCCCATGCGTGCACAACACCAATCTCATAATTCGATTTGTCCTTTCTTGTCACTATATTTTAGTTCTGGTGAACCTTACTTTGGTATTCAGTCAGGGGATCAGTGGACACCAGTCTCTGACTATGACAATGCATGGCTCCAGGTTGGTGTTCATTCAGGCGGTGTTTGCAAAACCCACAAAGAAGTAGCCAGTGGAGCGGATCCTAGCTGGGGTACTGATGCATCCAGCAAGGTGTCAGCCGAGGCAAACTTCATTGTTTGCGTCTCCAGCAGGGTCCTTTACGGGAAAAGTGAAACATCTGCCCTTACAACATATGACCAGGCCACAAACTTCTGTAATTCCAAAGGAGAATCTCTTGCTTCCATTGCTGATGTCTGCCCCTTCGGTACATACAGCCTACCTTACTTTGGCATCGAGAGTGGTGATCAATGGACCCCTGTCTCAGACTACAACAATGCTTGGGTCCAGGTGGGCGTCCATTCCGATGGTGTTTGTCGATCCCATCGTGAAATTGCTGGAGCAGATCCTGCTTGGGGGCTTGATGGAAGTCATAGTGAGGCAGCAAATTACATTGTTTGCACAAGTCGCTGGAAGAAGTTTCATGGTATTACTGCTCGAGATGTTGGTGCCGCTAAGGATGGCACCATTTGGGTGGTAAGTGTGGCCAACTATCAACTCGTGTAGTGACTGTTGTTTTGGTGCTCAAGTTTCACCACTAACTCCACCATGCATGGTTGTATGGCACTCCTTTTTGCATGGCCAGATTGGTACGAATGACAAAGGGGGTGGTTGCTATGGCATCTGGAAACACGAAGGGAACGATACGTGGGTCGAAGTTGATGGATGCGGTGTTCGTATTTCAGTTGGCAACAGCACAAATGTCATCATGGTAGGATCCGATGGCAAGATTTCGAAAAGAAGCAACAATGATTGGGTTCAGGTTACCACCGCCTTGGCTCGCGATGCAAGTATTACCGAAGATGGAACCATTTGGATGACTGAACTTGTGCCGGGACAGGACTGGGGCGACATCAAACGCAAACGGCTCTCAGATACTGACTTTGTCCAATACCATGGTGGTGGTGGAGGAGATAGTATTTCTGGTTTGAATGCTGACCAGGCTACGGTGTGCAACTCTGTTACATCATTAGCTACAAATCTTCTTTGGGTTTCTGGTAGTTCCAGCTGGTATCAAGCTGGATCATGTGATAATGGAGATGTGAGCTATGCTTCTGATGGAACTATTTGGACAACAGGTCAGCAAGGCGCAGGAAGCACCGGGGTGCCCCGAAGGTCCACCACTTCTTCCACTTCGGGAACAACCTGGGACACCGCCGTTGAAGGGGGCGCGACAGGTCGATACATTGCTGCTGTGAATGCCAACAGATTCCTCTTGATTGATTCTAACAACACCCTTTGGGAGTATGAGATACCTGAAACAGATGATGGATGGGTTAACACTGGAACATCAACACCTTCTTCTACTCCATCAATCTCCCCATCTGGTGTTCCTAGTGCATCCCCATCGAGATCCCCGTCCATTGCACCAAGTGAATCCCCATCAATATCCCCATCTTATTTACCAACTGGTTTGCCCTCAACATCGCCATCTAATGTGCCCAGTATTACTCCAAGCATATCCCCCAGTGCCCTGCCATCTCAACAACCATCAGACAGGCCCTCTCTAGTCCCAAGTCTCAGCTCTGCTCCCAGCGCACAACCAAGCTCATATCCATCTGCTCTACCATCTATCAGTCCCTCCCTGGCTCCCTCTAGTACCCCGTCCGATCAGCCAACTAGTACTCCAACCTATGCAGCATTTGCTTCCAATTCAGCATTTGCTTCCACTGTGGGTAAGTTTTGATTTTGTTGATCTGAATTGAATACATTCTTTTGAGTATGCTCTGAGCAACCTCCGTTTATGTCCTATTCAGATGAAAGGTGGAAATCAGAGTGGGGGAGCCTTCACATGTTTGGACCACAGGAAACGAATGGCCTGGCCATTGGCTGGACAGCAGCTCAAGAATTCTGCAATTCCCAAGGAGGAAAACTGGCATCCAAGGAGGAGATTTGTCCTTCTACCACCTCCACACCAGTTGATGGAATCCAGACCCCAGACAATCAATGGGCTCCAATTTCAGATGGTCTTAACAAATGGATTAATGTTGGACAAAGTGATAATCTTCCGGCCTGTTCGCGCCACGGAGGTGCTGCACCAGAGAATATTGGTCAAGGACATGCCCAAGGCTGGGGAAACTATGTTTATTGTGCTCCCAATGATTGGTACCAGTTCAAGGGCATTTCAGTTCGAGATGTCGATGCTGCGGAGGATGGCACTATTTGGGTGGTAAGTGTCCTTCATTGCATCTTTCCTGTGGGGCTCTTGTTTCACCCCTGTTATACTAACTGGCAAATTTGATCATCTTCTTTATGGTGCAGATATCGTCCACTGCTGTCATGACTGATTGTTACAGCATCCACCGCTATGTGTCTGGTGATACTTGGGAAGAGGTCAGGGGCTGTGCTAATCGAGTTTCTGTTGGCAGCAGCACAAATGTGGTGATCGTAACGACAGATGGCGAGATCCATCAGTGGACTGGACGTGGTTGGAAGTTGCTCACGAGTCCCCCTGCTAGGTATGCAAGTATCAGCAAAGATGGAACTATTTGGATGTCTAAGCTAGTGTCTGGGACGGATCATGGTGATATCTATCGCAAGCTTCCTTCAGATAATGACTTCAAGTACATTATTGGAGGGGGCAGTGATCATATTTCAGGATCAGGTCCAGACTGGGTTGCTTCCTGCAATAGCTTGGCATCTTTGAGCCAAAATGCTCTCTTGCTTAATGGTGGTTCCGGCTGGTATCAAGTAGGAACCTGTGATAATGGAGATGTGAGCATTGCCACTGATGGAACTATTTGGACAACTGGGGTGCCTTCTGGCCAAACAAGTCCAGGCCTGCCCCGCAGATCAATATCATCCAGTGCCGCTGCTACTACCTGGGACCTCCCTATACAGGGCAAGAGTTGTACCCAAATTGTTGCCATTCATGCAGACATGTTTTTGCTGGTTGATTCTGGTAGCAACCTTTGGCAATACAAGGTTCCCATTAAGATGAGTCCAGCTGCAGACGCTCCTCTGTTTGGACCAAGTGACACAGTAAATGTGAAAACATATGAAGAAGCACAGAGATTCTGTCAGTCCAAGGGAGGAAATCTTGCTTCGAGTAGAGATATTTGTCCATCTTTCAACAACTGGCAAAAGTACACTGGATTTCAGGCTACCGATGTGGGTGCTGCAGATGATGGCACAATTATGGCGGTAAGTTGTGACTGCTCAATATTGCTGCATTATGGCAATGGTTTCAATCTCATTTGTTGTGATTCTCATGCATCGTTACTAAAATGATTCTGTTGTAGCTTGATGCGACTGACGGTGATGTGGATGGTAATGGTTGCTATGGTATACACCGGTATGATGGTAATGATGTCTGGACAGATGTGGGAGGATGTGCCAAGAGGATCTCGGTTGGAAGCATCTCAAATATTGCAGTCATTCAACATACTGGGTATCTTTTCTTTTGGAAAACTGGTGTTGGCTGGGAACGCATTTATGGCATTCTTGCTCAGGATGTCAGCATTACCAAAGATGGATATATTTGGATAATCGAGAAGACAGCATCTGGGGGCAATGGAGCCATCAAGCGCAAGCATAAGGATGCGACTACCTGGGAGCATATCGATGCCGGATTTGGCCACAGAATTTCTGCTTTTGATGTTAACCATGTTGTGACAGTTGCTCTCAAGGCTGGTGGTGGTGGTGGTGGTATAATTTACTACAATATGGGTACCGGTTGGCATGCTATGGGAGAGTGTGAAAATGGAGATGTTGATCTCGCTACAGATGAAACCGTTTGGACCACTGGAGGATTTGAGTTGCATTCAAATCAAGTATCACAAGGATTAGCACGCAGTTGGAATGGCCACGATTTGACATGGGACCCTGCTCTTCAAGGCCACACCGGCACAAACATTGCTGCAGTAAGCGCAAGAGAATTTCTCATGGTTGATGACAATGATAATCTGTGGCACTACAAGGTAAGCCTCTTATTCCAGGAACAAATACTAATTGAATTCGTAGATACCACCTTTATTGACTCAATCGAATGCGTTGTTTTACAATTTCAGGCAGATCATCCCTACTTTGGTATCCAAACTGGTGATCAATGGACTCCAGTCTCGGACTATGACAATGCTTGGATCCAGGTAGGAATCCATCCATCAGGTGGTCCAACTTGTGCCCTGCACAGGGAGATAGCCAATGGAGCAGATCCGACGTGGGGTCTTGATGGAAGCTGGCCTGATGCAGCAAACCATATTCTTTGCAATATGGACAAATTTGTGTTTGGACCAAGTGATACTTTCAATGTGACTAGTTATGATGACGCCAAGCACTTTTGTGAGGCAAAGGGAGGAGCTCTTGCTCCATTTGATGACATCTGCCCTGTTCCTGCTGGTGTCAATCGACCCTACTTTGGTGCTGTTGGTGGCGTTCATTGGACTCCTCATGGTGACTACCGCAATGGTTGGGTTGAAGTCGGTGGCGATGCCGAGACTGCCATGTGTTCCAGGCACAGGACAAAGTATGGTGACCCACGAATTGGACTTGGCCCAGTATGGGGCGTAGCTGATGACAAGCTTCAAGGAGAGGCAGACTATGTAGTCTGCAAGATGGAGGGTGTATACCTGTATGGGCCTGATGTTACTGCCAATGTCAAGAGCTATGATCAAGCCAAGCAATTTTGTGAGGCTAGGCAGCTCCTCCTGGCCTCCAGTGCTGATATCTGCCCCCAAGATGGTAAGACACGGACATGTGAAATGATGCGTAGTACACTAACAAACTCCAATCTCACATTATTTGTTACATTGTTGTCAATAAGGTTCAAACAAACCTTACTTTGGTATCCAGCCCGACGATCAGTGGACCCCAGTCTCAGATTATCATAATGGATGGCTTCAGGTGGGAACCCATGTAGCAAATCCACTCTGCAGTTCGCACCGAGACATAAACAATGACGATCCTGCCTGGGGTCTCGATGGATCCACCAAGGTGGGACCTGAGGCCAACTTTATAGTTTGCAGCTCTTGGTTTCACCTCAACAGAGAGGAAACAACCACAGAGATTGGTGTTTCTGGTACTGTGTTTGAGCAGCGTCAAAAGCTCAACAAACTTTATAGCATTCCCGATCACCACCTCCATGGAAGGATCAGCCGCAGCATCGCTCGGTTCAATCACCCTGATGGTAAGCAGCGCAACCTGTGTGCCTATGCTGAAGATGGGTTCAATTTTCCCTATACCCTTGCATATTACAAGGTGTACCCAGAGGAGGGCTCCCTTGAAATAAAGTACGCTACCAACCTGCAAGAGTTATACACTGATGGTGAACTTCGCATAGCGAGACCGTCAAGCGAAATAGGATACTTTCCAATCGGTGATGTCATTTGGAATGGAGGGGTAAACACGACAAAGAATGGCACAGATATTCTCATCCCTCAGAAGAAGGCTCTGTTGGTCAAGGGAAGTGGTTCCGCCCTGACGAAACCCCTCTACTATCAGAACATATTCAATGCATCAATTGGATATCTGAAGGAGACAGGACCCGATGGCCTACCTCGAGGAGGTTCATCTGAAACCAATGGGTTCTCGAGTAATGGAACAAAAGTCGCAGGAGGTGAAGCAGCTGCTCCTACATTTTGGCATGAGTACAATGGAATATCAGTCCGAGATGTGGGTGCTGCACATGATGGCACAATTTGGGTGGTAAGTTTGGCTGAAAAGTATTGTTGCCATTGTGCTTGTTATGTGATGGTATTCTCAGGAAAATCTATGTCTTTAATCCCTGTTTGTTCCAGATTTCAAACTACACTGTCATGGAAGGCTGTTACAGCATCCATCGTCTTGTAGAAGGAGATAATTGGGAAGAAGTCAGAGGGTGTGCCTCTGGCATCTCAGTTGGCAGCCGCGAAAATGTCATTGTGAGTTAACTGAAGTCTTTGGTTTCACATTTGGGGACCTCTGTCTCATCGGCATTAATTGTTGCACTTCTTTGAATGTCAGGTAACAACCACGGATGGAGAAATATTCAAGTGGAGCAGCATTGGCTGGGATTTGATCCCCAGCCCCGCTGCACGAGATGCAACCATCAGTAGGGATGGAACCATTTTTTTGACAGAATTGAAAGATGGGACAGACTATGGCGATGTGTGGCGCAAGCATCCTTCAGATAGTTCCTTTGTGTTCTTTGGTGGAGGTGGAGATCGAATTGCTGCTTCAGGGCCCGACAAGGTGGCCCTCTGTAATTCCTTGCCATCTATAAATCAAAATGCGCTCTGGGTCAATGCTGGTTCCGGCTGGTACCCTACTGGAGCCTGTGAAAATGGTGATGTAAGCATTGCTGCTGATGGAACGATTTGGACAACAGGATCAACAAGTCATCAAACAAGTCCGGGACTCGCTCGCAAGTCCATCGTTGCCACTGGCTCTGTCACAACATGGGCAACCCCCATCCAAGGCCACTCAGGAGGCAAAATTGCTGCTATGAGTGCAACAGAATTTGTACTGGTTGATTCGAAGAACAAGCTCTGGCGGTATGAGAATCCAGGTCTCCAAGCACCCAAGACAGGCAGCACCCGAATTTTTGGACCACGTGAAACTGGACCGATCAAGAGCTACAGAGAAGCTCAAAAGTTCTGTGAGATTAAGGGAGGATCTCTTGCATCCAGTTCTGACATCTGCCCCTCAGGAAGGTAAGAATATTGCTGGAACACACATGCATTTGCTCCTGATGCAAACACAAACAAAGGCTCAGGAATCTTCTGTCTGCCACATAAAGCTCTTCATGGCCCTATTTTGGTATCCAGGATGGGGAGCAGTGGGCACCTGTGTCTGATTTTAGCAATGGTTGGATCCAGTTGGGAAGCCATCCCTTTGCACCGACATGCAGTCTGTACAGAGACACACACGATGGAATGGATCCTGATTGGGGTCTTGATGGGACCTCTAAGAAAGCCTGGGAGTCCAACTATATTGCCTGTAGTATGAGAATGTTCATGTATGGGCCCAGTTCAACAGCTGGAGTCAAGACCTATGATCAAGCGCAAGCATTCTGTGCAGCAAGAGGAGGAACTCTTCCATCCAGTACTGATATTTGTCCCTCAGCTAACACAAACAGTTGGAATGAAGAGTGGGGAGACATTCACATGTTTGGTCCAAATGAAACCAGCAGCCTGGCAATTGGCTGGACAGCAGCGGAAGAGTTCTGCAGTGCCAATGGAGGAAGTCTGTCTGCTATCCATGAGATTTGTCCACCCGGTGGGAACTCAACGCCTGTCACTGGTGTCCAATCAGTAGGAGATGATCAATGGGCCCCAATTTCAGAGCGAGAAAACCAATGGGTCAATGTGGGCAGTGGTGGGATATTTTCGGCCTGTACGAAACATGGTGGCGCGGCACCTGAGATTACTGGCGAAGGTCGTGATCGTGGATGGGGAAACTACGTTTTTTGTTCTGCCATCAGAAAGGGCTGGTTCAAATATAGTGCGGATGTTCGAGATGTTGGAGCAGCCGAGGATGGCACAATTTGGGCGGTAAGTGTGGTGGGGTTCAGCGTTAGTTAGATTGCTTTCCTTGTAGATTGAAATCCTCTGACTCCTGTTTCACAATTATTTTACTACAGATTGGAATGCATGACTACTTCCCTGGAAAGGGCTGCTACAGCATTCTTCGAAATTCTGGTGGAGATTCATGGGCAGAAGTTGGTGGGTGTTCTCATAGAATATCTGTCGGAAGTAGCTCTAATATCGTGGTAAGTTGAGTGAATCTTGTTGCTTTTACTTGCTGACCTCTGGCTCATGCATACGTGCATTGTTGTGCTGCTTTCAATATTGTCAGGTCCTAAACTTTCACGGGCACATCCATCAATGGACTGGGCATAACTGGAAGTATCTCCACAGCCCTCCTGCGAGGGATGTAAGTATTACCAAGGATGGAACTATTTGGATGACTGAGTTGCATGTTGGTCATGTTTACCGCAAATTGCCTATGGATCCTCTCTTTGCGCCGTTTGGAGGCTATGGGGACCGCATTGATGGTTCGAGTCCAGACAAGGTTGCTCTATGTAACTCCATGTCAGATCAAAACCTACTTTGGGTTCATGGTGGTTCCCACTGGTACCCTCCTGGTGCGTGTGAAAATGGAGACATTAGCGTTGCCGCCGATGGAACCATCTGGACAACTGGAATTGGAAATGGCCAGACAGGTCCTGGATTGGCCCGTAAGTCAATGACCTCGTCTGATTCCGCTACTACCTGGGCTGCCCCCATACAAGGTCCATCTGGTCGCAACATTGCGGCTGTGAATGCTTACAAGTTCCTGCTGGTTGATGCCAGCAACCAACTTTGGGAGTATGAAGAACCGGCAGCCATTCTGCCGACGGTGGGGACCTTGAAGGGTGGCGATCAGTGGATCCCCTTCAATGACTACCACAATGGATGGATAGAAATTGGCAGAGATGAAAATTCTCCTGTATGCTCCACAATCCGAGATGTACATGGTGATCCCCAATGGGGTCTTGTGGAGGACAACTCTGTCTCTGGGCCGAACTACCTTGTTTGTGACTTGAATCGGGTCATCTTTGGGCCCAGCGAAACAACAAGCGTTACGAGCTACAACCAAGCACAAGAGTTTTGCAAAGCAAAGGGAGGATACCTTGCTTCAAGCTCTGAGATTTGTCCATTGGGTGCTTCAAGTCATTGGATCAATTACGAATGGTTTAAGGCTCGTGATATTGCCGCTGCAGAGGACGGTACTATGTGGGCGGTAGGTCTCATTGGAATACAGATCGGCTATCCCAAAAAATCACTATGACTGTTTTGTTTTTGTGACCTAACAGATTTCTTCCTCTTGGGCAGATTGGAATTCATGACTATTGGCCCAGCGACGGCTGCTACAGCATCCATCGCCGCCATGGCAAAGATTCCTGGCATGAAATAGGTGGTTGTGCTCATAGAATTTCAGTCGGATCAAAGGACAACGTCATTGTGAGTTGACTCAAGTCTTTGGTGTAACATTTGGTGACCTCTGTCTCATATATGCATTGCTGCACTTCTTTTTCGATGTCAGGTACTGAACTTCAGAGGAGACATTTTCCAGTGGACATCGCATGGCTGGATTTATCTCAACAACAATCCCAAAGCACGAGATGCAAGTATTACCAAGGATGGGACCATTTGGATAACTACATTGGTGGAAGGAAGTGACCATGGTGCAGTCTATCGCAAGCTGGCAAATGAAACTTCCTTTAGGGAGTTTGCTGGTGGCACTGGAGACCGAATTGCAGGCTTTACGTCGGACAAGGTTGCTGTCTGCAACTCCTCACTTTCGAGTGAAAGCAAGATGTGGTACTATGATAGCAGCCAATGGAGTATCATTGGAGACTGTGGAGATGGAGATATCAGTATTGCTGCCGATGGAACAGTCTGGACGACAGGCGATGGTAACAACCAAACGATTGGAGGATTGGCCCGCAGGTCTACTTCCCTCTCTGGTTCTGGTGCAACCTGGGCATCTCCTATTCAAGGCCACTATGGAAAGAACATTGCTGCTGTGAGCGCCAGAGAGTTCCTTATGATCGATGACAACTTCAACCTGTGGCATTACTATGAAGCTGAGGATCCATACTTTGGCATTCAGTCCGGAAATCAGTGGACCCCAGTCTCTGACTACATTAATGCATGGGTACAGGTTGGTTCCAACCATGGTGCTCTAGGTACAACCTGTGGACTCCACAGAGACACCAACAGAATAGATCCCAGGTGGGGTGCTGACGGAAGCTGGAGTGGAGCTGCAAACTATGTTGTATGCAATATGAGGTTGGAAGTTTACGATTCAATCTCAACAATCAATGTCAAAACTTATGCCCAGGCACAAGCTTTCTGTACAGCCAGAGGAGGAACTCTTGCTTCCAGTGCAGATGTCTGCCCCTTTGGTCCAAAAGAGGAACCCTACTTTGGTATTCAAACTGGTGATCAGTGGACCCCAGTTGCAGACTATAACAACGCTTGGGTCCAGGTGGGAGTCCATCCATGGGGTGCTGTTACTTGTGGTCTCCACAAGGATGCGGCCAATCATGATCCCAGTTGGGGTCTTGATGGAAGCCGGAAAGATGCTGCTGCAAATCACATTGTGTGTAAGACTGGTCCACCACCAGAGAAGCTCGTGGTGCCAGGGGATGACCAATTCCATATGTTTCCAGATGCCCTCGCTGATGGGCCAAGAAAGTGCTTTGCGTTCACCACTACTGTGAGCTGCTTTGACATACCATTTATATGTAGCAGAGTTGCCGCGTTATACTCACTTCTTTTGTGTTGCATTTAAAACAGGCACGTGAAAATCAATGTGTTGGAATATCAACCAGACCTGATCTTGTCCAGGAATGGAATAGTGACTTCTTGATTGTTTCTCTGAATGATGCATTGCAAGAAGAAAGCACTTTCTATGCTGCTGATTTCTCAAAGCACAGTTCCACCAACCACAACTCCGGCTTGCCAAGCTTTCAGCCACCTTACTTGGATGGAACAGCAAAGGATTTTTGGGTGTGTTCACAGTCTGAGTTGACCGGTGGCCTTCTGTTTGTGATGGGCACTGGTCGTGACCCTGATGATGTTACCTCCACAGTAGTCGTGACAGTTTCTCTTCCCGACGTCACGGCTGACTCCCGTCCTTTCTTTGGATTCAAGTCCCTGAATACAGAGGAGTTGTACACAAATATTGAGGTAATTGATTTCAATACTGCTCCCACACCTACCCCTGCCCCGGTCTCGACAGGGGCCAATGCCCGACGTTTGCTCATGGCAAGCTATAGCTACAGGGAACTTGCTTCAGTGAATGGCACTATTGCTCCAACCACAATCTCATCCAACGATACCAATTCCACCAACAGCCCTACCGCCGTCCCATCAAGCTCTCCTACGGCCACTCCACCATCTCTCTGGAGACCCATTCCTCCTCCAGGATATACTTGCCTTGGTCATGTGTGGAGCACCGATGACAAAGAACCTTCCACAGATCTTGTTCGCTGTATCCAAACAATGTTTGTCGAGGGCTCGAAGGAACCTAGACAGAGATGGGACAGCCAGTCATCGATTGATTTTGATGAGCTGACTTTGTAAGTACACACAATTGCGAGTTGTGCGGTCACTGCTTCAAAGAATTGGCGATAATCTCACTGCTTCCTAATTTTGTTTGATAGATGGGAGGCAACAGAAACAAGGACAAGCCTCTCCCCGGGCACATTCATTTCAAGGGCATGCGAAGCCTGTGAATCACCGCAGGAAGAATTCTACTCACTGTAAGTACAGTGCATGATCGTTGAATGGATGCTGCTGAGACCAATACTCACGTGTGCCTCCTTGACTGCCTTGGATTTGCAGCAAAAAACAATGCATTGTGGGGCATGGGCAAGTACCCTTTTGCGCAGAACCAGGCACACCTTGGAAGGTGGAAGTTGCGAACCAGACCAATTTCAATATTCCGTATGCCAAGCTTCAACCATGTGGCTATGAACATGAAGACAAGAGAGTGTATGGACGGCAACACAACACTGATCAAGAGTGGGAAAAGTATGCTGTTGAGCTTTACAACAAGTCTGGATTTGTTGGCTGGAAGCATCTTGGTGTGTCGGAACGCCTTGGCAAGCCATATTGTCTTGGCTCAACTGCATTTGGCAGCTCTACCTTCCAGAATGATTTGTTCATCACGAATATTCCAATGGAAGGCCGTGTCCTAGAGAAAGATCTCAAGAACATTACGTACGGTACAAATGGCGAGCTCCTTTCGGCCAAACTTGCAGGAGATTTTGTTTTCCTGTTCCCTTGCATGTAAGTCATTGAAGAAACCTGTTGCTTCCATCGGTGGTATCCTTAGCCTCATGCATTTTTTGCCATTTGTTCAGTGAACAAAATCCAATCTTGGAGACCAAGAAGATGCTGTTAGACTTGGCTGCTGAAGCAAGTATGGATGGAAGCGTAGAATCTGGCATCGTTAACATTGAGGAGGATCTGGGAGTAGCATCAAGACATTGTAACCCAGCAAAACGGCAATGCAAAGCAAAATCACCATGGGGGAACCCACACATTTGCGGTGAAAAAGAGGAGCCAACAAAGTCTGGTAAGTGTCTCTCTGTAGACACTTGCTTCTATCGACAATGCAGAGGGTACAATGAAGAAAGCTGCACTTCCGATGGTGACTGTGTAGGTGCATCGAAATGCCACCGAAGTGCCAGTGGGGGGATCTGTGGAGAGGTAGGTATTCTGGCTGTCTTGGTTGTGCTTGGGTTTCAGAGACATCTCTAAAATTCTCTTGTTCGAATTTCTCTTGTTCAAACGCTGTTTGATATCTGGTAGAAATTCCGAATCTCTGTACAGGAATCTACTCGGACATTGGGCCGAGCGATTCCATATGGGGTTGGCCAAGATGGTGGTGGAAAGTACCTTGTGCTTGATGAAGGAAAGAGTGTGTTGCTGATTGGAAACGCATGGAAAGCCTTCTCACTAGGCAGTGAGTATACTGTTACAGAAAGTACAACTCTGGAGTTTGACTTTGAGTTTCGCAATGAAACGGAAGGGCATGCAATCTGGTAAGCCAAGTTTTACTGAGCAGCATTGGGCAACAAGTAGGCGTTTACCTAACCTTTTTTTGACAGTCTGGACGAAGACACCAATGATGACGTTGAGATTGAAGGGCAGCACCGATGCTTCAAGCTCGCTGGAACCCAGGTAGCACCATCTTGGTCTGAAGTATGGAAGATGCCTCAAGATGGAGAGGAAAGGACTAGCTGGAAAGACCCCACCAGTAAACTTGTAAGTTTTTCGTGTATTGGTTGTGTGCCATGTAGGTGTTCCAAATCTGACATTTTTTATTGCAAAGCACTACAAAATCAAAGTTGGGTCTATTACAGAAGGGCCAGCCAGTGGAAAACCGTACATTGCGCTGAACACCAATATGAGATTCCTGGCCTTGGTCCAGGACAATGATGCAGACACAGAGGCAGGGCTGAGCAGATTCAGTAATATCAAACTTTATGATGCCCAGCCAGCTGTAAGTCTCCCATGCAGGCATAATTCATGATGCCAATGCCGTACCCCATAGGTGATATTGACAATTGTTTTCTCTTTATGTGTCCCTTTTTTATTAGGGAGGGACAACATCACTTGCCACAAGTATCTGTACCAGGAGGACCGAGCTGAACGGATTGTACAGTAGCCAAGGAGCAGCTCCTGCACAGCTTGGAGCTAGTACGGAAACGATGATGCGATACAATGATGGCAGTGGCGCGAGTGCCCGGGAGTCTTTGTGTCCGGTCTTTGATGCATATTCGCCGACTGAAATCCCCTACACAGTGCAGGCTTACAATATGGAATCAACCGATTTTCTGGATGTTCAGTACCGTGATGCTACCGAGGTAAGCTAATATGAAATCAGGAACATTGTCACGCACACTGTAGGAAATCTCATATCTTGTTCCTCTTGTATTTATAAGGATGCTGTTTATTGGATTCATTCTACACGTTTCCGAGTGTTGCGAGTTGCTGACACCGTTCTTCCGGATGGTTACTACCGTCTTGGAGATTCATTGAACACCAATTTTGCTAACAAAAAGTCCATTGCTATTGTGAAAGGTGGTGGTGATGCCCTAGCACCTCCAAATGACTACATCGGATCCTTTGAATGCATGTTCAATGGATGGCCACATTGCATTTATTGGAGACCAGTCTGCCCATACGGTGAGTTTGAACGCCACACCCCAAAAGATTATTGACTTTGCCGCCAAGTTTTTATTAATTACCCTCTTTCTTTTAGGCTATGTTGCAATGGGCTATGTTTGGACGAGCTATCTTTCAGGATGGCACAAGCCAACCAGGGACTACATGCGATGTGTTAAGGAGGACTATGTTTTCCCATTACATTGGGTGTTCGGTCTCCAATGGGGAGGAAACCTCTTCTATGTAAGTTCATATCATTAATTGTTGAATGATCCATTCAAATACTCGGTGAAACTAAATCCTTTTGATCAACACAGGGAGAAGTTGCACACAATTTCTGGCCACAGGACTTCTTGCTGACGGGGACACATGATATGACACCCATTGAAAGCTGGTGGGCAGGAGATCTTTTTGTTTTGTAAGTAACAGTTCTTTGAAGGTTCTGGTTTGGTTCATCGTTTCTGGCCCTGACGCCATTGATTATAATTTTGAGCTCAGACGGAAGCCATGTACGCAGTATGGTACTTGGCCATACTGTTCTGGGCGTGTTTCGATGTGGCCAGGTACGTGTTGGACTATTGAATGTGTCTGAGTTGTTGGATAGTCGCTGGATTCTAACGTGTTAATTTGATCTTATGTTTGATCCCGACACAGATGATGAGGTGGAATTCCATGTCCCCTATGCTGTTTTGAAGCCATGCGACTTCCACGATGAACACAAGGAGCTTTATGATAGTACCCTGGATTCCGAGAGTAGGAGAAAATGGGAAAGCACTGCTGTTGAGCTCTACAAAGATCCCATTACTGGGTTTACTGGATACAAGCACATTGCAGCAACTAGGCGGTATAACAAACCTTACTGTCTTGGAACGAAGGTCTATGGACGATCAAATCAGCTTCGCTTGAAGTATATGCCCCATATTGGATCCCATATTGCTGATATTGCCCACAAACAGATACGTGGGAACTTTGTCTATGATCCTATCCAAGGATACGGTGGAGACTATGTATTTTTGTTCCCATGTTCGACAAATGATGACATTGGAAACCACAAACGAACACTGGAAATGTCGCGAATCGTATCGTCAACAATCCGAAGGGATCTTGTTAACAAAGATGAGGATCTCGGAGTGGCGGCAAGTTACCCTTCTCTATCCTGGAGCAAACCTCACTTTTGCCCATGCGGAGAAGAACCAATCAAAGATGGCAGTGGGTGTATGAAGGTGGACACCTGCTACTACAAAGCGTAAGAATGAAGTCGTTGTCTGTTGCTTGTGATCTGAATCATGCAGTGTCCAGTTGTGACTCACCAACTGGAAAACTATGTACAGGTCTATCTGTCCTGACGAGGTCAAGTTTTCCACCTGTGCAGCAGATTATTCTTACTGCCAATGCGACGAAGGATATGTGGGGAACAGATATGGCGCTCAGGCTGTGAGTTCACTATGGATTTGTCTTCAATGCCTGGTTTTTTCTGTTGGATGATGTTCCAATCTGACATTGCATTTTGACCCACTACAGGTTACCAGTGGGAATGGAGATGTTTGCGTTCTTTCTGAGGATGCTGACACACAGCAAAATGTCTCCTTTGACTCTTTTGACGTAGTAATGAAGAAGTCGGGTCTGACAGGCATAACAGTCAGGATGGATCGGTATGATGCAAGTGTAAGTTTATTCCATGGTTGCCGGGAGCTGCTTTGTGATTTGGCATGGATGAGCATGCCTCAATCTCATATATGCTGTCTCCAACATTGAACCACCAGGACCCAGATGAACTACACAAAACAGTCAAAAAGTGGGATGCAAAGGAGACAACAGTGGTTGCTGTAGATGCACCCAAAAACATCTACAAGCAAACTTTTGATGGTTTACGCCCTGGAACGAAGTATCAGTATACAATTACGGAAACTTCCAGTGGTTCAGTGCTGTATGACGCGGCAGAGCAAGTGACCTACTGCTGCTGTGACTGTAAACGATCATCACAACATGATGACAGTACTGGAAGGCCAGTAGACATCAAGATATTCCAAGACGCCGGGGTGATCACTTTTGAATTTATCGACAATTCTCGCTGCTCAGAAGCTTATGCTTTTACCAGGACTGACGTGGGCGCTGGAGAGTTCATAAAGTCTGATGAGAGTCTGAAGCAAACTTTCACTCCAAACTTTGTAACCTTTGCGAAAAAGAAGTGTACCATGGCTGCTGTCAAACCGGGAACTAATGCTGCTGATGATCTTCGATTTTCAAGACTCCAGGTCTCAGAGCCCTACAGATACTGCATCCGAGCTGTTGCAGAGCTCTACTCTGCGGACTCTCAGCATTCAAGCGATGATGCTTGTAAGGTACGATTCATTTGCAATGATAGGAGAACCAGAACATGACTTGACCAGTGTACTCTTCTTACTAATCCTTGATTTTCTTTCTTCCTTTCATTTGTAACTATCTCCAACCACCAAAGATCCACTTTGTCCGCTGGCAAGCCTCCATCAAGGGGAAGATTGTTACAGAGCAGGGCAAAGTACCAGTTGAAGGGGTCAAAGTAACCTGGCAATTGATGAACCTGCAGCAAACTGCTGTGATTCATGAAGGCACAGCTACAACCAAGAAGCCCGGAAAATTCCAGATTGAATTTGACGTCGATGACAGCATCAACAAGTACCTGAATCGCGACAATGCCTTCCCTGTACGAATCACATTTGACAAACAGACAGATGTTGGGGGAAGTGAGCCCATCATTCATGACTTTGTCTGTGAAGATGGGACCGTGGATTGCTCTGGAGAGGATGGGACAATCTTTTATCTGAAGCATTTGGAATTCAATGAACCTTTCATGGCTCAGGACAAGACATCAGTCCCAGTCAAAGGAAGGGTATCTATTACAGAACATGGTGGATGCCCCTTGATCGGAGCAGATGTTTGCCTCATGCAAAAGCGAGCAAACTACCCTGACGCTCAGGGTGCTTGTGTGAAGACTGACGGATCTGGAAACTTTCAAGTGCCGGCAACTATTGGAACCACAGTGAGTAGAGGGCTTGATAGCTCAAGTGCCAAACTTTCGTTTGGAATGATACCAGCACATCTCACCTTCCTTGCTTCTGTTGCTTAGGTTGGCGTCAAAGTGGCTTACTTTGAGCATAATATTGTGAGAGCTCCAGAAAACGTTCTTGATTACGAAAAGGGAATATTCATAGACCCCACTAGGCGCTATGTTGGCAATGACTTTGTTGACATTCAGAAGGCTGCCTTATTTGTCGAGATCGCTGGAGGATTGTGTGATATGCGCTTGGGACGTAGCAAGATCGAAGTGGAAACTTGTAGTTCGCACCCTCCTCTGGTTCTTCCGCAAGGTGAGCTTATAATCATTTTTTCTTTGACTTATGGGAATCACCAAGGCTCTTTGTTCTTACTTTGGTTACTCCGACTCGTGTTTGGTTACTCTTGGTCCTCCAAATCGCTTTTGAAATCATAAAAAAACCAGGAATGTGGAAGGCACAGCACACACTTCCAGCTCACGTGCTCAATGTACGAGTTGTCGAAGTCAGGGATGATCGTGACAAAGAAAAGCCACCGCAGAAATTACATGACATCACCAAGTTCTTCATGGACAAGACTCAAAGCAAGTCTGTTGATCTTCGCGAGGAAGTGGCAAAAGACACAGAAGAAGAGGAAACCAGTGCCACACCTAACGATCAGTCAGTTGGGCATGAGCAGCAACCAGGCATCCCCATGAAAGATGTACCAGAGCTTCGCTTCCAGGTAAGTGAACGAATTGGTGTGATGTTCCAACCATTCACTGTCCCATCATCCCACTTACAGTTTGCATTTTGCTGCTGCACTTTAGTATGATGGTGCGCTTCAACAAGAATTTGAGTTTGGTGGGGCAGATGAGCTGGCACTCCATTCGGAGAAGTGTTCAGTGGACAAGGTCTTGCCAGAGCCGTTGGTCAAGCGGCAAGCTGGTACCACCTATTCTCTCCACGTCACACACACTGGTTGGTTTTTTGAACCTAAAATATCCCTGAAGTACGAACTCATGACAGACATGTACTGTGATGTCATGGACGATGATATCATTGTTGAAATTGAAAACAGTGTTGGTATTGATGCCAAGTGGGACCAATTCAAGAAGGATCTGCCACCTGATGAAGTCAAAGCTTATGAGAGATGCAGTCCAAAGAACACTTGCAAGTACAGTGTGGAGCACTCTGAACCAAATGGAGTCAAGCAAAGAGCTCATGTCGCTCCAAAGGACCCCAAAGATCCTCAAAAAAAGATCAAGTTTTTGGTTGGCCGTCCCAGGTATTAAAATTCATTCTGGGTTGGGCAATGATCTCCTGACCAGTGTATATATCTCTGACCTTTTCTTTTTTATTCCTGGACGCCTCCTTATACAGGATTGACTCACCATGTAAGTATCAGCAGCAATGTATGAAAAAATTGCATCAGTTTCGGGCTGATTCTGACTTCAATGCTCTGCCTCTTTCTTCTGCTCCCCACAGATCGCAAGCAATTCAAGGTGAAGGTTACAAAGGCTGGAGTCCGCCTCTTGACCCATGTTGCTGAGGTTGTGATTACAGGCGACTACAAACTGGGTTCAGGGAAGTCCTTTGCTCTTCCTACCTATAACCCCATTCTAGTCCTTCGTGATCCACCTGGAGGGCTTTCACAAGCGTCCTATGAAAATGTCCAGACCAGTACGTCATCATCTTTTCCGTTAATGCATCCTACATTGATGCAATGCCCAATCTCATTGCACTGTGCTACTCTTGTTTGAACAAAGCCATGCGGGTTCGGTCAGCTGAATATGAGAAACTATCGGACGTGTACCACACCTCCCGCCTACACCTTGGAGCTGACATTGACGCCGGAAGTTGTGCTGGCTTGGGGCTACAATTTTGTTTTAAAACTTTTGCCGTGTCTGGTGATGGGCTTGCTGGTGGTATGGACTCTGATGATATTGATTACAAGTATCACAATGAACACATGTTTACTTCTGAGTACACCACTACCTGGAGGTAGGTGCCGAACTGAAGATGTGGGGGCCATTGCTTGAAATGAAGCTCTGCTTTCATTGTCACTGACTCACAACTTATCGTTTCGGACCTCTGTTTGTACCCTGTAGTTACACCACCAGCGATGATCCAATGCTTGCAGGACAAAACTCGGATGTGTTTGTGGTCCCCAACTTGAATGTGTTGTTTTCTGAGACTTTGAATTTCAAATTCCATCCTGAAACATGCTCAACCAATGTGACCACTGAAACCAAATTCAATCTCGAGGACAAAAAGAATAAACCTGCTGTCTCCTTCCTCTCTTACCTTTACATTGACCAGCATTTGATGCCAACACTGGTGACAAAAGTTAAGGAGTACGATGGCAGGTGGAAAAATGAACCTGATCCACAGAACAAGACAAAGCTCAAATCTCAACATGACACCTTAGCTTTTGCTCTGCAAAGTTGGAATCAAACAATCAGAGACTACATGAACACAACCAGCCAGGCAACCCAAATTCCAGCGAGAGAGTGGTTTGACAAATGGGCGTCCACAAAAGATGATTTCTTTGCTGTTGACCCGGTTAGACCAAGTGGCAATCCCGCCATTGATCTGGTGAACCTTATGCAGAGTGCATACTTGACTGAGATGAAGCCAGTAATTGGAAAGGGTGAGCATTGGGCCAATCTGGCCCCTGAAACCCTTACAGACAGAGCTGTGGCTGTGCAGGGAGCTAATTACATCGAGGCAGGATCGCAAAATGATAAAAAGGACTTGAAGGAGACGAATCGCCTTCAGTTCAGTGGAGGAGGGGGCACAATGGAGTATTCAATGGGTCATTCTGGTATCACTGAGATGAGCAGACTAAATCATCGTCATCCCAATGAAGAAAGTACTTTTGGGGGCACAGTATCCTTCGACATGTCAGCTGGTCCTGGAGTTATGATTGGTGGCGGGTACGTACAGAGGACTGGGTTACTGGTCTTTGCTCTGGTAGTCTAGCTTGCTTTCATTCTCGCTTATCCTTTTTGTCTTCCATATCCATCCAGGTTTGAACTGACAAGTGTGACAACAAAGTCTCAACAGTATGTGGATACAGATGGCAACAGCAAGGAAACAACCGTTTCGTTTGTGCTCGGTGATGAAGACAAGGATGACGACTTTGTGGTGGATATCTTTGTCGATCCCATGTATGGAACTTTCATTTTCCAAAAGGTTGCTGGTACAACAAGTGCTCCATGGGAAGGTGAACCAACTGCGCGGGGAGAAGACATTGATCTCAATGTTGTGCAGCGACCAAACAAGCCGGTACTCCCTGATGAGCCCATGACCTTCACACTCACCATTGCCAACAATGTCAACGACCCATGGACGAGTGCCTTTGTGGTTTTCCTCGACCACACGACCAATCCAGAAGGGCTCTCGCACAAGCTGGGAGGGAATGACCTCGCAGTTGCGCATGACTTTGGCCCGTTTAATGGTGTCCGTGTGGTAACAATGGAAGTTTGGAGACCATCGAGGGGATATCAGTTTCCAGCCACTCTGATTCAAATGCAGGCTGATTGGGATGATATCGGCCGAGAAGCCAAAACCGTGTGGTTACACAATTCGATGAACTGCTATGGAACAGCATGCATGGGGGTTGAGGAACCTTGCCCTTGTATCAAGTTTGAGGAACCATGTCCAGCGATGGAGTGGGCTGGACCTTTTGAGCAGGAGAAGAAGTATGTTGTGAACTTGGCCAATGTTGCAGATCCTGTCCCCTTGGTTATTCGCAACCCCAAGAAGGCCGATGGTACTCTTGCCAGCCTTGTCAATGATACAAGGCTGGAGAGTGTATTTATCTACTGGAGGAAGCTTGGGGAGACCAGTTCACCAAACATCGCTTGTCTGGACGTGTCAAAACAGCAGCGTGCCAACTTTGCCGCAATTCCAGTAGATGCTGGGCGTGAGGATGGCTATGGCTATGCCAGTATCAACTGGTTCTTCCAGCAGGTGCATGTTGCAGAAACCAGTGCAGATGGTGTATACGAAGTATTTGTTGAAAGTCGATGTCAAGGTTTCACCAATGCTCCTGATAACTTCATCAAGGTGGAGCCAGAACCATTACTGATTGTTGTGGATCGAGTAGCTCCAAAGATGTATGGAATGCTACCAGTGCGGGATGTGGTGGTCCCAGGAGAGGAAGTTGTGATCGTCTTCACCGAAGAAATCGATTGTTCTATACCTTTCAACTTTGATCTCACAGTGTCTGTGGCTGGAATCAAAGATGCTGGGGGTGTAAATGATGCAAAGTATGGTAAGTACATGGTCAGAGAATGCTCTATGACATCACATGCTCTTCTCTCATTCAGTATTGCTTGGCTGCATGTGCATTCCACCCAAAGGCATCTTTTCCAACGATCTGAATATCGACTGCAGGGAACGGAAGTTGGGTTTCCTCTTTGATGAACTCATGGGCTACGATGTTTTGATGGGTCGTGAAATGAGCATTTCTGTAACAGGTATTCATGACCTGCAAGGAAATAATATTACTGAAGCCATCCAGTTCAAGAAGACGTTTGCGAACTTGAATGTAAACAACACTGGCTCGGCCTTTGACATGACACTAGGAGAGCAATGCAACGGAACCACCATGAGTTCAGAGGATGCCAAAGTCAGGATAACGCAACTGCTGAACTTGGCAGACTCAACTCGTATTGAGATCCTGAGCGTGCGGTGTGAAAACGCAAATCAGACTTTGGCTCGTGTCAAGATGGCTCCATCTGGTGCTCCCAGCTTCCGAAAGTTGGAAGAGGGAGCAGATACCAAGGTAGATGGTGGCGACCACACCCCCATTGGAGTGTTTTATGCCTTGGCACAGTTGTCCAAAGAGGCAAGGGAAAGACGCAGGTTGACGGCTTTCAATGTCTCAAGTCCTGACGTGTTGATTGACCTCAGTGGCAATCCTATTGACTTTGAGTTCAGTGTTGGCAATCTGGAGCTTATTCCCCATGAATCTGATGTGGAGCGATATTCACTTGACGACCCACCCTCCACTGAGGAGCAGCTCATTGTGGCTGTTGCTGAAGGGATTGATGAGACCACTTTGAGACAGCGTGAACAAATTTTGAGACTGGAGCAAGGAATGAAACAGCAGCTGGCAGCGACTGCTGCCATGAAAGAGCAGCTGGCAGCAACTGCCGCCATGAAAGAGCACTTAGTAACGCAGATGGAAAGCCAAATGACAGTCCAAACAGAAACGCTGCATGCCAAAATGGAGGCGCTTCTGGATCGTGCTTTTGACAAGCAAACCCTAGAGAAGTTGCCAAACCGTGAACGTCGCAATTCAAATCGGAGCAAGTTGGACTCTTCTTCAAACCAGCAGGATCATGATGCAGCCAATCTGATGTCGCAAATCCGGTTGCCAAACCAGCAGGATCATGATGCAGCCAATCTGATGTCGCAAATCCGGTTGCTGCAAGTACTGTTTGGTTGTTCTGTGGTGGCTATCATTGTGCTGCAATACAAGAAGAATCAACTCAAGGCATCTCTCCAGCAGTAATTTAGACCTTAGCCATCCGTTTTCCAAGACAGTTGACCATCAACACCATCCTTACTTTTAAACCCATCCATAGCATTGTGATTCAAAGAGACAAGTCTTGCCCTGGAGCCATTTTGAGGACCTTGTAGCCAATCATGCTAGCAGCTTTTTGCGAATAGGAAGGACACTATTTTAATTTCAAGCACTATTGTGCTTTACCCAGGGCCGCACTCGACGCTGTTGCACCGCCAACTCACCACCATTGAGAGCACCCTGCCTTGCAGCTTCAATGGTACCTGCTACATTCCGTAGTGTCTCATAGTGATTCTCATCCAGATCTAGACTGCTGACAGCATGACTCTCCTCATCGTTGTCATCGTCATCGTCTTCTCGTGATCCATGGGTATAGTGCAATGCGGGTACACTCAAGTTGAGCCCTGCAAACGGGTTCTTCAGCTTGGTAGATAGTGACTTCTTGTTTCCTGGAATATCTGGCGAGAATTGGAAAGCTGACATACTCTGGTGAAGTGCTGATATGGTGCCCTTGATCACTCCATTCTTCTTGTCAGAAGGTGCTGGACTCCCAGCTATACCTTGCCATACATTCGGAACATCGTATCCCAGCAAGTCCCTAGCAGTTGACACTTCTCCGTGTTTTTCCCAAGGGTAGAGATCATCTTCTGACCTGGAATTCCCTTCTCCGCTGGGGTAGCGGGTTTGGTCGTTGGCGTCGCTTCCGGGCCTAGATTCCTTGATTCCGCCGCTGCTGGCATCTTGCGTGCCATGAGTATGAACACCCTTAGCTTTCGATCCACTACTGCGGCCACCGCTGCGGTCACTCGTCAGTCGTGAAATGAAACCACCGCTGCCGTCTCTCATTCCTGGATCACTCCGGTAGCTCATCTCCCCAGACGAGCCAGTAAGCAAACTGCGATCTTTGATTCCTGGGTCACTTTGCTCGCTCATCTTCCGTGACGGGGCACCGGTAAGGAAGCTGCGATCTTTCATCATTTTCCCCGTGCTGACGCGGTCGTTCATTCTGCGAGATGAACTTTTGCGATCATTTTGCCGACGTGTGCCGCTGTGGTCCAACCTATCCCGCGACGACGACTCGTGGTCACTGACGTCTCTCAAGCTTTGGACAATGTAGTCATTCATCATCTGAAAGCTACCCCGTCGGTCAACGCCACTCCCATTGCTCTCATCTTGTACTTGCACCAAACTGTCATTCATTTTCGTGATGCTGTCTGCAGGCCTGCTTTCCCTTGTAGGGCTATCAATGGTAGATAGAGTTCCATATTCAGATCTCAAGGAACTCAGCCGATTCTTGTAGTCGACAAAACGACTTGAGAATGGAATCTCCTTTTCTTTCCTGGATGTGCGATTCTCAATGGTTGCAATTACAGGCTTGGTCGCCACAGGCTTTCCCGCATCCCTTTCAAATACATCTTCTTGCTTAGAGGAGGAGTCGCTGTTGTGATATGACACTGCAACTGTCACGTGGCCTCTTTGTGATTGGGCGTGTTCGCTGCAGCTACTTTGGAGAAGATGTTGACTGTAGCTGGATGCGCTCCTAGACAGATCCGTTGCACTTGTTTCATTCGACGGGATTTCCTCTTTGGTCAGTGGTGGAACTTCAGAATCTGAGACACGCCCCTTTCCCCTGCTCCGCCTGCTTGAGCCATCCATTGGCTCTCCCGATACCGCGCTACCGTCATCCAGATCATGGTTGCTTCCTTGGAATGGAACGGACGAGTCAGAGTCATCTCCAAGCAAATTATCCGACAGGAAGTCACCGCCACAGAAAGGCACTGTCGATTCTGACTCGTCCAGCATCTTCTGTGCTGTAGACCTGGGGACCAGGTCGAGAAGCAACATTTGTGGCGTCACATCTTGTTCCTGTTAGCACAATGAAAGCAAACAGGAAGAACTAGATCAGTTTCATGCTAAGAGAGAGGCACGAAAAGAAGAAAAAACCTGCTTGTACTCACTGGACACTTGATGGAAGCGATCGAATCAGCCAGATCTTCCAACAACGGCCTTGAAGCCAATACTTGTATCGAGCTCGCTATGGACGCTGAACAGACTGATTCCGATTCCTCGATAATATCAGAAACTCGTTTCCGACTATAATCTGCCTCCAAATTTGCGTTACTCGATTCTTCGTCTTGAAATCTCTCCACGGGATGTACCGGCACCTCGAACGGCTTGCTGGCATTAAAGCTGTCGCCCAAAGAAGATGCGCTGGCATTACCGCTGCCGTTGCCACTGCCGCTGATTCCAAGCTCTTTCGAAGCAACAATAGCCACCATTTCTTTCAGTGTCTTGTCATCTTGGCCCGCGAAGGAGTGTCTCTTGCTGTTTCTCATGCCTGCAAAAGGTTGCGACCTTCGCAAGCTGCCGCCAGTACGGCCACTGCCGTTGTAGCCGCTGTAGAACGAGCCGGTCTCGTGATGAGAGCTTGTGCCGGTGATGAACACTGATCCTCGCGCCCTTCCACCATTGAGAGAACCAGGGTTGCGTTTGTATTGAAATACCATCATAACCAGAGGCCCGAAGATAATGAGCATCATACTCATTGCAAGAACAACAATTAAGCCAACTTGAAGGAAGTAGCTTGCCACAATATCGTCAG